TCGAGAAAAAAATTCGAGAAGGTGCGAAATTTTTCGACAAAGTTAAAAAATTTCAAATCGTTCTGGTAAAATTATTTTTCGTTGCGGGGATCAATTACAATCATTTTTGGTGAATAGACATACCCCCGAAATCTTGCGCATTTTCGAGAAAAAAATTCAGTACGGGCGGAACTTTAAACGTGAATAACTTTTTAACAAAGCGTCCACCAACAAATTAATATTCTTGATTTTCGTCTTATTTTGGCCTCTAGAATCTCTCATTAAAATTGTTCCCATGGGTGGCCGAACAACACCCTGAATATTACCAATTAATTCACAACTTTTGCTCGTTATTCGCGAATGAAATTTCCCAGCTTGTTTGAAAGGAAGAAATAAATTGTTTAGATATGGTAACGATGTTATTTGAGTTCTCGAAATGCTGAAAAGTGCTCGGTGCCCGGTGCAACGTGAACAATTTGTCGATATTAACGTTCGACCGGATCGAGATCGCTCTCGGGTCAAAAAGCAGTGCGTCGACCTCGTTTCGAGCAGTTTCGTTTCACAAATCTTCGAAATTAACGATTTTTAGAGCGTGCCCGTTTCTCGATGTTGTTTCGCCACCTGTAAATCCCACCGTACATCTACGGGTATCTAGACACTTTGCAGAATTAATAATTCAAGATTAACGCGAGATAAGCGGTCCAGCTACGTAAGAAGCGGGAGGAGGCCTGAAGAGGGCGTACGGGCGAAAAAGTCTTATCGAGGCGCAAGTCGCCGAATAAAAGCCGGGCTTCGTTTATTGCTTTTCTTGGAACAACCGTGCAGTGGACGAAGGTCGGGCGGCTCGGCCAAAGAGAAGCAACACCTTCCCCTTTTGTACCTTCTCGCGCTGTACTCGAGCCAAAGATGGCCAAAATTCTCATCTAGATAGAATCAAGATAAATCAAACTTTCGATCCCCCGTTCGTTCCATAAAAATTACAAAACCGTTCCGTGTTTCGAGTTAAGCGAATAAAAAGTTCATCTGAACAACTAATGAGAGAAACGTTGCGGGGAAAGAAAATTATTCGTCGTCCATTACAGAGATTTATCTGACTTATCTGGTTTACATTCAGAATAATTTACAGAAATACAAAATAAACATAATAAAACTCACCGGTGTTTTAAAGGGCATCAATGTATACAACATGATTTAAAATAAGAATGTATAAGTTATCGATGATTGCTTATGACCTTCACTGTTAATGCAACCTTGGATCAAATAAAATAAAAAAAAAGAAGTGACGTTCTACTGTAAAAAATGAATTATACTCGAATAAAATGTTGCCCTCTTACTTACACTTCGAATAATAACGAGTAAATTTTCTATTCGGATAACACGTTTTTGTTCGAATAATTTGTTCGCACAAAAGTGACCTCAAATTCAAAATCAAAACGTAATACGTTATTTAAATAACAAAGACCGACAAATAAATATTAATCCGTCGCGTGAACGATGAAAATCAACAAAAATTCGTTCGACTCGCTAAGTCCCAAATCCGGCCCACCGTGCAGCGGCTGTATTAATTAAAATCGCACCAGATAGGATTTTTCACAAGGTCGGGCCAGCGGATCACGAAGACGCGCGACGAAAACGAATTTTCATTTTCAAAGCGAGCCCTTACGTCTGTGATCGCAGCGCTCCCGCGCCTCGATTAAAAGGAGCGTCACGTGTCGCTCGTGCTCGATCTTATAATTAATAATATCAATTAATCGGTATCTTGTCGTGCCGATCTCTGCTCGCAGCGCCGTCGGAATTTATGCCGAGGTAGCAACAGGTAACCCGCGAAGGAAAAGTCTCAGCGCGAAGTAGCAGAGGAAGGCGGCGAAGAAGAAGTCGAAGAAGAAGAAGAGGAGGAAGAACAACAACAAGAGCAAGAAGAGAGGAAAAAAACGAAAGAATAAAGAAGATGGGGGTTGCGTAATCGCGGCAACTCGTCGGCGCATGTGTGCTGAACGCCCGCGGCGAGCCGAGACCTTGCCGACGTGCATGAGAACTGGGCCGTGCCGGGCCCCACCGGGCCCCGCCGGGCCCTGCCGCCATCAGCCCGATTCCGCCGGACTCAAATCGGACCAGCCACCGATCTAGAGAGCATTTGCACTTCCCTTTCTCTCTCTTTCTTCTCTTTGCTCGTTTTTTTCCACGCTTTTGCTCTCCTCGCCGTAGAGCATTAGGCCCCGTTCGAACCGTTTCGCGTTCTTTAACCCTTTGCGGCCCTATATCGAGCCGTACTCTACGTAGACATTGTTGACCCAGTACCGTATTTACGATACGATCCAAACATCCGATAACTACTTCGCCAGAGCGTTTTGAACGTAAATGATTAAGATCGCATCGATTTGTGTTTATATTACGCTGTCGGTTCCAGCAGGGAACGCAAAGATGGCGCAATATGCAATAAGTTATTGCTTCGATTATAGTATACAGGGTGTTCGGCCACCCGTGGGAAAAATTTTAATGGGAGATTCTAGAGGCCAAAACAAGATGAAAATCAAGAATACCTATTTGTTGATCGAGCATTCGTTAAAAAGTTATTAACGTTCAAAGTTCCGCCTGTAGAACGGCAGTGTGCGCGCGATAGTACTTCTAACCACAGGCGAGGTATACGAGTAGACATTTCATCCAATATATTTTTTCAGCCATTAATACGCATTGTTTGAATTTTGGATCATTAAAATCCTTCAATTCGTCCAGAAGTCATGATTTTTTAATCATATGCATGAAATTTCGGGGAAACATTTCTGGCCACAGATTACATTTCCGGTAAAGAATTTTTTTTCTCGAAAGTACGTAGAATTTCGGGGGTATGTGTATTGGTAAAAAATGATTGTAATTTAGCCCCGCAATCAAAAATAATTTTTCCAGAACGATTTGAAATTTTTTAATTTCGCCGAAAAATTTGTCCACCTTCCTAAATTTTTTCCTTGGAAGTGCGTGGGATTTCAGAGATATATGTATTCACCAAAAATGATTGTAATCGACCTCTGCAACTAAAAATAATTTTTTCAGAACAATTTGAAATTGTTTAATTTTGTCTAAAAATTTCAGTACCTACTCGAATTTTTTTCTCGAAAGTGAGTAGGATTTCAGGAGTATGTGTGTCCATAAAAAATGATTGTAATTTAGCCCCGCAATCAAAAATAATTTTTCCAGAATGATTTGAAATTTTTTAATAACTTTTTAATTTTAGTCAAGAAATTGATATTCTTGATTTTCATCTTATTTTGCTCCCTAGAATCTCCCATTAAAATTTTTCCCAGAGTTGGCCAAACACCCTGTATATATTGTAAGGTACGGTTTCGTTGATACGCTAAATGTAAATACAGGTGTCAACAGAGAAAACTGGTCGTATTATAAAAAGAATTTTAATTAGCATCGAGAGTACGTTTTGATTAAATTTGAATACTTAACCGTTTCTGCAAGTTGTCCGCTTAATTTTATCCCCAATCATAATCGACGAAGAAACGTAAAAGCCGTATCGTTTCTCATCCCTGTATTACATTAATATATTATTACTAATACGTAATGGTAATGATTGAGACCCAACACGTTCATATTACGTATATCGAATAGCTAGACAAGGTTATCGCCATCAGTATAGCTCTGTGTCGTTTAACCTTTTCGCTGCTACAGACTTCAGTCGTCTATCTAATAATGTTTAAAACAATAATTATATTTTTTGTGCAATGAAATATCCTTTTGACGCATACTATTGATAGCCAATGTAAATAAATTGGCAGCCATATTGGAAGGATGCTTCTCGGTCGAAACGATTAATGTTCTATTTTAATATTTTAGTAAATATAATAATTAGAAATAATGTAATATAATAATAATATACATATTGTTCATGTTTATTCCCCAGTTGCTTTTTCCTCTAATTTTCTTTTCCAATTCTTCGTAATATTTTAAGCACTTCGAGCAATTCTCTCGTCTTATTAGCAATATTTGTTCTTCGTTGGCTCGCGTCGCAAATATGTCAGCCAGTTCGCCGACGCCAAAGAGTCTGGCGACGGGTTTCCTCTCGCGTGGCGGGCTAATTTGCGTACACGTGCCTCTCGAATTGCGTCTTCCTTTTCTACAACGAGACAATTAATAACATTACATATTTATTCTCTGGACGTGCATATTTTCGTCGAATAAAATTTTAACTATCGATAAATTATCTTAATAAATTCAACAAGCGAACGACTCCTTAAGAATTTCTTGAGAAATAAAAAAAAAACGTTACTGTCGCGACGGTAAGCTCAGAAACGAATATTTTTTTGAACATAGTCATCTAGATCTAAGACTTTGATTTCACCGGAGATGTATGTGGGGCACAGTGGTTACATATTAGGAAATCCTTCATACGGCGGGACAAATTTAAGATCTCTTTATCGGCGCGTATCTCGACCAACAGTGACCCAGCAATTGCGAAATTTGACTTAGATTTGGAGGATTTTTTGCAACATAGACGGTGACTAAATTTTAGAACACGGTCACTTATCTTCTCAGGTAATGTACGCGCGTACGACCTGTTTTCTCGACAAAAAGAAGTGAATCATACAAGTTCAAACAGACATTTAGAAATCCGCTAAGGAGCCAAAGTTTCAGACACGTTTGATAGAATTCTGCTGAAATGCGGGCTAGAATTTAATGGATGTGTCTTAAGAAACCAAGCTACTTTTATATACAGGATGTTTCACATTGTAAATGAAAATGTAAAATAATATGTTGTTCCTATGAGGCCTTGTTTCTAACAAAATTGGCTATAATTGATTTTAATTCTGTTTCTGAGGTATTGATAATTGAAAATATAAAAAGATATGATACTACTTATATTGCTTGGTGATGAATCGTGAGTCAAAGTCATGAGTTTGGTCTAGCAGTCGACGTGTTAAAAGGACACTTTTAGAGAAACATATTCCTACAAATAAAAAATTTCGATGGTCAGTGTATCAAGTTATGTTTAAATAAATATACATCTTTCTGTGTTGCAGGTGTTAGGACCAGTTTCAGGGTGCCACGTGAATCCAGCTGTATCGATCGGCCTTCTGGTAAGCGGAAATTGTTCTTTTCTCAAAGCAGTATGCTACATCGTTTGTCAATGCTGCGGCGCCATCGCGGGTTCAGCAGTGTTAAAGGTAAATTTAACAATTTCAAACAGGGCCTGAAAACAGGAATTGAATTTGAGAAAGTAATTTAGAATACAAAATACAAAATACTGGAGAATAATACTATCCATACAATATAAAATACAAAATACTATTATACAGGGTGTTCGGCCACCCCTGAGAAAAATTTTAATGGGAGATTCTAGAGGCCAAAATAAGACGAAAATCAAGAATACCAATTTGTTGATGAAGGCTTCGTTAAAAAGTTATTAACAATTAAATTCAAAAATTTCAAATCGTTCTGAAAAAATAATTTTCGGTTGCGGGGGTCAATTACAATCATTTTTGGTGAATAGACATACCCCCGAAATCCTACCCACTTTCTAGACAAAAATTCGAGAATACGTGAAATTTTTCGACACAATTAAATAATTTCAAATCGTTCTAAAAAAATTATTTTTGGTTGTGGGGGTCAATTACAATCATTTTTTATGAATAGACATACCCCCGAAATCCTACCCACTTTCTAGAAAAAAAATCGGGTAGGTGCTGAAATTTTTCGACGGAAAAAAAAATTTCAAATCATTCTGAAAAAATTACTTTTAGTTGCGGGGGTCAATTACAATCATTTTTGGTGAATAGACATACCCCCGAAATCCTACCCACTTTCTAGAAAAAAATTCGAGAATATGTGAAATTTTTCGACACAATTAAAAAATTTCAAATCGTTCTAAAAAAATTATTTTTGTTTGTGGGGGTCAATTACAATCATTTTTTATGAATAGACATACCCCCGAAATCCTACCCACTTTCTAGAAAAAAAATCAGGTAGGTGCTGAAATGTTTCGACGGAAAAAAAAATTTCAAATCGTTCTGAAAAAATTACTTTTAGTTGCGGGGGTCAATTACAATCATTTTTGGTGAATAGACATACCCCCGAAATCCTACCCACTTTCTAGAAAAAAATTCGAGAATATGTGAAATTTTTCGACACAATTAAAAAATTTCAAATCGTTCTAAAAAAATTATTTTTGTTTGTGGGGGTCAATTACAATCATTTTTTATGAATAGACATACCCCCGAAATCCTACCCACTTTCTAGAAAAAAAATCAGGTAGGTGCTGAAATGTTTCGACGGAAAAAAAAATTTCAAATCGTTCTGAAAAAATTACTTTTAGTTGCGGGGGTCAATTACAATCATTTTTGGTGAATAGACATACCCCCGAAATCTTGCGCATTTTTGAGAAAAAAATTCAGTACTTGCGGAACTTTAAACGTTAATAACTTTTAAACGAAGCCTCCATCAACAAATTGGTATTCTTGATTTTCGTCTTATTTTGGCCTCTAAAATCCCCCATTAAGATAATGGGCGCAAACTACAGGAATATTTAACGTTCTGTAGAATGATAAGAAACAAAATGCCAGAATATTCGTCAAATTGATCTACTCAGTACTGTATACGTATTTTAATTACAAATAATGCCCATGAACAATGAACTTTCTCTTCTATTTTTACACTTTGGTTACCGAGGATCATTCTTCGATCATCGTGCGTTAATTAAGGTGTTTGGCAAGGTCAGGGTCTTATCATGCGCTATACCGACGCTGGTTACATCAGAGACTGGCGAGCGAAGCGAATTACGTAGACAAAATGCATGATATTCCGTTCAGTCGTGACAGCTAATTCATGAGCACATTAATTTCTGTGATTAGCCGTGAGTGTATTACGTTCAGCGGCGAATAACGATCGGGATCGTAAATACATTAGAATACACAATGTGATGAAGACGAATGGCTGAAATCTAATTTATCAGAATGGTATAAAGTCCATTTTCAACATGAAGCGTTTCATTTGTACGGTAAAATTCGATCGATCCGAACATTTAAATTGCAAAATGTAGCATTCGTTTGCATTACATTATTGCTTTCTTTTTCATCCTACACGTGGGATCCAGGTCATACAAGATCGAAAGAATTAGAAAAAAGAAAATTTAAGAAAATTAAACGAATACGAACAATCTAAGTCGTAACGATGATAATATGCGTTATTAACTTCATTTTCTTCCATTCGATTCCCCGCAAATCGTCAAAGTTCAATAGTAGATAACCTTTATAATTTATACCACTCAGATAAAACTCATGTTTCTTCCATATAGGAATATAACACCACAAAAAGAAGTGAAACAATCTTAACAATAGAGAAATTCATTCAGACCTAAACAAAAATTGATGTACGAATAAATCTCAAATTTTTATTCGTTGTTACATAATACTCGACTCTGTGGTACCACAATGCATAATGATCATACCAACTATAAGTAGCGTAACTATATTTTCATATCAAATAAGCTCGATCATCGCATAAATCACGATACTTGCTAATATTTTTAGTTCAATTCTCTCACAATTATCGAAGTTCTCTATCACTGATCGTCAGAAATAATAATCCAAAGGTGCCAAAGATACTAAATAAATGTCTGCTGAATAAATTGCGCGATTAACTTCCTTTCCAAGAATCACTCCATCAATGTTACAACGCGGGGTCAAGAATTATCATGCAGCACAGCAGGATGACCCGTGGACTCCCTCATTCAGCAAATAGTCTGTCTATAATATTCTGCAGCAGCAACTCTTCATTTGAATACGAATGATCCTTAGAATGTCCCATAGAGTGACTTTGTTGCTATACACTGCCTGAGGTTTCTCGAGTTGCAACCCTGCAATAATACATCTATGTATATGTATGTCGGAATCCATTAAACAGTTGTTGTTCTAATTGAATGTCACTTCAGGTTGTGGTAATAAAGTTATATTGCCCCTTATCGATTCTTAAATTTAATCGACGCAAAGAATATCATCGGAAACGCAAACGTACGTCTGGTTGGCGTTGACGTTTGAATGTGGCCTTTAAAGATAGTCGAGTTGGTTGTCTGGTTACCGGAACTTTTAAAGAAAAAAGAAAGAAAATTGAAAGAGGGTGACCAGACGGAAAGGTTGTGCGAGAAAATCTAAAAAGAAATCCTTGCAAAGGACTCATTGGTTTACGTCGAGCATTCTTTCGTTTCGTTTAAGTGTTTGTGTTAATTATTAGTTAAAGTTTATTTAGTTCAAAGATTAAAAAATGCATATAGTAACAAGACAAAGGCTTGGTCGCCCGAGAGGACCAAATACTAACCGCTCCACAGTGGGGCCATTGCATGCCAAACGCGGCAAAAAGTGGTTTTATACAAATATACCCACAATGAAATAATGATTCACTAATAGTTAATGGGACACATGGGCCATGATTTAGTGTGATTTTTTTTATCATGCCAGAAAATTTAGTAGAGAAGAGTGCAATATGGATGTTTTGAAAAGGTAGGATTAAATATCGACTATAAGTTACTGCAATACGTTACAATTAACAAAAAATCGAATATTATTTAACTATTTTTATTATGAATAGGCTTCTAGTCACGTCGGACCCTTTATTATCTAGCTTAAGAAAAAAAATTACAAAAAAATCAGAACCATACACAAAAGAGGTTACAGAAATGTTCCTCCCAATTTCGGAAACACAAGAGGAAGAGGAAGAAGAAGATACGAATGAAGAATCAGATGAAGAATCATTCATAGATTCATAAATTCTTTCGTTTTCTCTTCGAAAAGGCCGTGCCGTCTATTCGCTAATTGCCATCTTCTCCTGAAACGGGACTTCAAAGTTGCAATTTCTGTTTTCAAAATATTCTGGTACTCCACAGAATAATTATCCTGGCTCATTAAGGACGGCTCTAAAAATTCTAGTTTATTTTCAAAATCATGATTTTGATGCTGTGTCATGATGTTATAAAACTGCATCATTAAAAACACACCTACTCCTGATGAACCTTAGGATTTAAAAAAAAATGTCACCCTATTAAAATGAAACTTTTGCTACGAAAACTGTATTAACAAACTATGTAGAAGATGAAGAAAAATGGCGAAATTCAAATATATATATCTGTACCTACCTACTTCAATTGGAAATTCCATTATTTTAACACTAAATATTTCACTCACAACATACAAGTTAGGAACGTCAAACGACAAATGCCCCAAATTCGTGATCATTTTATGCTTTTATAGTATTCGAAGCAAAAACAATGAAATGTATGCATTGTTTCCTAGTTTTGATGTATTTTTGAGAATCGTAACAATACTCGCAATCGCCGACGCTCGCACGTGCCGAAACAATTGATCATTTTTATATTTTTCGCAGTAGCAGCTAGCAGCAGCTAATTTTTTTTTTTTTTAAAAAGGTAAGGCATTACTCTATAAAAAGCAGCTAAAATGAACACTGAATCACACTGCATTCATAATTAAAAAATAAAATGAAAACTGAACATGTTCAATTAGTTATAACTCAAAAAATGTTGGAGATATAAAAGTGTACTTTGGTGTAATTTAAATACGTACTAAGTACACTTAATTCAATTACTCATCATTTACTTTGAAGAATCAAAGCAACAATAAACGATGATTATAATTTTGGATGATTTTAAGAATAAACGTTTCAAAATCATGTAGTCGTATCAAAAATCGACAAATGATAAAAAAAATCATACTAAATCATGGCCCATGTGTCCCATTAACTATTAGTGAATCATTATTTCATTGTGGGTATGTTGTACAAAAAGTCACAAAATTCTAAGAAATTGTGTCATTATACGAGGGCGGCCCGATAAGTACTTAGCCTACAAAAGAAAAACAAAAATTTTGGAAAAGTGGCGATTTATTTTTCTACATAGTCTCCTTTCAGCTCGATACACTTGACCCAGCGATGCTCCAACTTCTTTAACCCGTCTGAAAAATACGTTTTCTGGAGGTCTGCAAAGTAGGCCTCCGTGGCGGCGATAACCTCCTCATTCGACTCAAATTTCTGCCCGGCAAGTCACTTTTTCAAGTTTGGAAACAAAAAGAAGTCGCACGGGGCCAAATCTGGAGAATACGGCGGATGAGGCAGCAGTTCGTAGCCTAATTCGACCAATTTGGCCTTGGCGACAGCGGAGGTGTGAGCCAGTGCGTTGTCATGGTGGAAGAGCACTTTTTTCTTCACCAAATGGGGCCGTTTTTCCTGCAATTCGGCGTCGAATCGGCCCAATAATCCGGCATAGTAGAGCCCTGTGATCGTTTTGCCCTTGTCCAGGTAGTCGATGTAGATCACACCTTTTGAATCCCAAAAAACGGTGGCCATTACCTTTCCGGCCGATAGGACAGTCTTCGCCTTCTTCGGAGCACGTTCGCCGGGTGAAGTCCACTGTTTCGACTGTTCCTTGGTCTCTGGTGTGTACCACTGGATCCATGTTTCATCGACGGTCACGAAACGACGCAGAAACTCCTTCGGATTGCGCCTAAACAGCATCAAACACTGCTCTGAAGTGGTCTCACGGTTGCGCTTGTTGTCCGGAGTAAGCAAACGCGGCACCCATCGCGCCGACAGCTTTCTCATGCCCAATATTTCATGCAGGATATGACCCACGCGATCTTTTGAGATGCCTACTGTCTCAGCTATCTCGCGCACCTTCAATCGTCGGTCTGCCAATACGAGATCGTGAATTTTTTTCACGTTATCCTCCGTGGTAGCCGTTTTCGGGGCACCTGGACGTGGCTCTTCAAAAACTGACGTGCGACCACGTTGAAACTCGTTAAACCAATTTTTGACGGTCGCCATCGAAGGAGAAGAGTCACCGTACACAGCATCCTAGCGCTCTTTGATTTCGCTGCGCGATTTCCCTTCCAAAAACAAGAATCGAATCACCGACCGATATTGCTCTTTTTCCATTTTTCTAAAATACGCGGACACACCCGCTTCCACACGCGGTCAAAACAAAACTACGAATCCGATTCGGCTGAAATTTTGACAGTAACTGTCTACAAGAATGTACTATACGATAGTAAATTTCTCTTGCCATCGTGGCGACCATCGGGTGGTGAGGCTAAGTACTTATCGGACCGCCCTCGTATACATAATTGTTTTTCTAATTGAAATTAAAAAACAGTCAAAATGACTTCCTTGGGCGATCTAGTGTTAAGGGCCCACAGGGTCACAACAGTGCTTCTTGCACTCAAATATGCTCAAACGTGGTAGCCTAGAGTAAGGCGTACTATTATTGACTTTTGATCCCCCGGTATTTCGGAAACTGTTCAATTTACGAGCTTGGGCCCATTGGAACTTTTCATCAAGATATCATGAACTACATCATATCAGAAGTTCAGCTAATTTAGCTGGGGGCCATTTTCCATAAGATCTGTGCGAGGTCCAATTGTTTCTGTCGCGAAGCGAAATCTTTTTAAGAACGGGATATTCTACATATAACACCGAACATTTGCGTCCAACGCAGGTAGCTGGAAAAAGGTCGCCGTAAGCAGACCATAGAAGCAAGTATTTTCGCGACTAAAACCGTCCCCATAAACGTAGACTCCTCGACAGCTGCACCTCACGTGCAAACACCCCCAATAAACCATACCTGCCCCAACGACAAACATTTTCCCAAAAATATTTAAACATTCAAGACACGCCTCAAGAACATTCCTGATACACCCTCCTCCCAAGCACCACCAATAAGAAGCCATCCATCTCGCCCTTTCCACTGATGAAACCAACCAACCACAACTTCACCGAGTCGAAAAGCGCGAAAAGATACCTCCGTTAGGCAGAAATCAATCAACGCTCACTCAGAGTACACACCAAGAGTCTCGTCATCTACTAGTATTCAAATAAAGACTTAACGAACAAACATCGTCTTTGCTTCTGTAAGCACCCTAACTACTCACACAATTTTAAGTAGGCGTGTGAGGTACGCGTACAAAAAGGCAAACGCGCAATTAGTTACGCGTACAAACAGTTTCGTTAAGTTTCTTTCAACGATTGCTTCCATCACTGTTGCTCCAGGTGTTGATACCAGAAGCTCCAAGTCACGGTTTGGGTGCCACGGCCCTCGCCACGTCGGTCACCGACAGCCAAGGTATCTTCATGGAGGCGATCGTCACTTTCCTCTTGCTTCTGGTCATCCACGCAGTGACCGATCCCAAGAGAACCGACACGAGAGGATGGGCGCCGTTGGCGATCGGACTGACCATCACAGTGGCTCACATGGCGGCTGTGCCTGTGACTGGTAGCAGCATGAATCCTGCCAGGACATTGGGTCCCGCGGTTATTCTAGGCGAGTGGAAGAACTTGTGGATCTACTGGGTCGGTCCGATTTTGGGTGCTTGCGCGGCTGGCGGCCTTTACAAGGTGGCGTTCAGGCGCAAGAAAGAAGACGACGAGGCATCCTACGACTTCTGAACATGAAATCGGGAACCACCGTTGCGATTGGTCCTCTTTGAAAAAAGGGGAGACACATCTAACGCTGGAACAAAAAAAAAAGCAACGAATTAATACTGGGGAAACAGTGAGATTTCTGTTCGCGTATCGGAAAATATCTCTCATGACAAATCTCGCGAATCACGCGACCAATTCTTGATTTTTACGAATTCAGGATGGAACGTGAACGTTCTATTTATTACAGTACGAGCAATCTTTCGAGGAGTATTTAACACGATCAGGTTGTGATCAAAGTTCTTGAAATTTAAACTCTTTGATTAGGAACAGCCGAAAGTTGGTGATTGAATGAAATTAAAAATAAATTCGGGCAGCCTTTCTGTAATTATCTGGAAATGTACATTTCTTGGACATTTCTAGATAAGAAATGAAAAAGAGACGCACGTTTAAGAGAACATTTTGTTTGAAAAACAATCTGAAAAGAATTAATCGAGAACTTCGGCCATAACGAATAACATAATTAGTGTAATATAAGCTATGTTTGTCGAATACATGTATATTAATAATATTTTAAAACGGAAATCATTTTGAACTTGACTCGACGTTTTCAGTAATGACTACCGATTAGGAGAAAACTTGAACTCCACGTGTTCGGTGGTTGTTGTCTATGTTTTCGTGTAACTTCTAAAACGTTTTAACGTACAGTTAACGCTTCTAACAGTAAAGCATTCTAAATAATATTACGACTCGCGTATATACACAACCATTGGAATCATATTCGACTTTGTAGAATTTAGTTCCATAGATTTGTATACCTTTCACCAAAAACATACTGCATTCGTGTCATTTCGACATGCCATGTCAACGTTTTCTACGTCGTTTAAGTTTTGTATATATTGTACTTAAATTAGCTTGTAAGATTCCGTAACAGATTATCACGTATGAATACGCAGCTTACGTCACACTTTAAGTGTACATAAATCGTTTATCTTTTAATATTGGCGTTTCATTTTCGCTAACCCTTTGACCTCAATTGTGCACAAATATTTTCACTCCGATTACTTTGGCTGACGAGTATCTGATCGGTCCGGATTATTTGTAAATAACGAATAAAGTTTTGTTTTTTAACGACGTAGGCGGCTGAGAAATACGAACGCCTACGAGCATACGTAAAAGATAACTTGGTTGCTTACATAATGCATAAATATATTTATCGTCTAGATAACAAATAAAAAGAAATTTATTCAGCCATTTACATTACTTGAATGCATTCGTTCTCGAGTCTGTGATAAATATTATTTTTTTTTTTACATTTTTACCTATGAAATATAACAATAATAGAACGATAGAACAGCAATTAGCACAACGTATCTTTATTTGGCGTTTAACAGCAAAATAACCAGAATTTTATTAGTAATAAGTAAATTAAAATTTAACATTTATCGAAGCAAATGAGAATAAATTGTTTTTAAAAGCTATCACTTTCGCAGAGATATACGCAAGGTGTTCTAGTAATCAAAGTATAACACAAAAGTGATTTTCTTGCAAAAAACAAGTAAAAAATATGTAATAGAATTTGTATTAAAATAATTTTGAAAATCTGTAGAACACGCGTCTACGTGTAAAAATTAGTCGAAAAAAAAGAGTAATATTTTTTCGTTTAAGGTTGCGTTTTCGATAGAGTTGAATTAAGAAATTTTGTAGACACTCGAGAGATCAGACATCAATGTATTAATATAAAAATGTTGGTATTTTTGTTCTACATGTATTTGACTAAAATAACTTTACAAACAGATAGAAAACGGTCATCTTCTAAGTTTAATTATTAATTATTGCTGCATATTATTTTTTCTATATTTTTAATATTTTAAGTACAGGTAACCCTCCTATAACACGGTAGATAGGATGCTAGAAAATGCTGTGTTGTATGAAACTATGTTATATGAGACCCAGAACCAGTATAAAAAGGGGAGTTACGTTCCGAAAACTTACTAAAAAACAAATATTTTTTTTAATTCTACATAAGCATATTATTTTAATTTAACGCAACATTAATTTAATAAATTATAATTTGTTTATACAGGGTGTTCGACCACCCCTGGGAAAAATTTTAATGGGAGATTCTACGGGGCCGAAATAAGACGAAAATCAAGAATATCAATTTCTTGATTCAGATTTCGTTAAAAAGTTATTAAAAAATTTCAAATCATTCTAAAAAAATTATTTTCGGTTGCAGAGGTCGATTACAATCATTTTTGGTCATTACAGATACCCTCGAAATCCTCCGCACTTTCGAGAAAAAAAATCCTGACCGAAAATCTAATGTGAGGCCAGAAATGCACCCTCGAAATTTCATGCGAATGTTTAAAATGTCATAACTTCTGAACGGATTGGTCGATTTTAATGTTTCAAAAAACAAACAACGCGTATTTTAGTGGCAAATATGTAGAGATTATGAAAATATTCGAAAAGTAGTTCCTTGACCCCGCAAAATGAGAAAAACCCCATAAAAATGGTCTAATTTTTAAACAGCCATAACTCCTACAATAGTAAACGTGACACATTGAAACTTTTTTCTAAAGTAGAGCTCATGGGTATCTACAAAAAAGTATTAGACAACTTTTCTATAGGGCAACAAATAACAGTACTAAAAATGAAGAACGAATTAAATAAATTCAAGTTCGCCTAAATTTTTCGGCGAAACTGAAAAGATTCAAATCGTTCTGAAAAAATTATTTTTGGTTGCAGGGATCAATTGCAATAATTTTTGGTGAATAGATATACCCCCGAAATTCTACGCAGTTTCGAGAAAAAAATTTCAATAGGTGGACAAATTCGTCAAAATTGAAAAATTTCAAATCATTCTAAAAAAATCATTGTTGATTGCCGGGGTCACTTACAATCATTTTTGGTGAATAGACATACCCCCGAAATCCTACCCACTTTCTAGAAAAAAATTCGGGAAGGTGTGAAATTTTTCGATGGGAAAAAAAATTTCAAATCGTTTTGGAAAAATTATTTTCGGTTGCAGGGGTTAATTACAATCATTTTTGGTGAATAGACATACCCCCGAAATCCTACCCACTTTCTAGAAAAAAATTCGGGAAGGTGTGAAATTTTTCGATGGGAAAAAAAATTTCAAATCGTTTTGGAAAAATTATTTTCGGTTGCAGGGGTCAATTACAATCATTTTTGGTGAACAGACATGTCCCCGAAATTCTGTGCATTTTCGAGAAAAAAATTCAGTACGGGCGGAACTTTAAACGTTAATAACTTTTTAACAAAGCCTCCATTAACAAATTGGTATTCTTGACTTTTGTCCTATTTTGGTCTCTAAAATCGCCCATTACAATTTTTCCCAGGGGTGGTCGAACACCCTGTATATTTTCATATAAAGCCACTATAATTCATTATTCCTTCGCGTCATTATTTTAAGGTAATTCAGTTTTTAAATATGTTAAGCAAAAATCATGTTATCCAGTGTTGTACAAAGGTTTTCGTAATTTTCTTATCGTGTTATAGCAAAACCTTGTTATAGGATGCCGGGTGGTAGGAGGACTACCTGTATCTAAATTTTAGAACATTTAGAAAACAGTAGGAGGGTAAATATATTTCCATAATAACAGCATTAACCTTTCATGGAACGTTTCACAGAAAGAAAATCCCCTAAAATTAATTAGCTGCAGTCCCTAGCACATCCAGATTGACCAGTCGGTACTATAAACCAGAAATGGCTAACAAATCATTAAATAGTATCACCTAGTATTAAAGACACGAGTTTGAATGCGTTAAATGTCAAGATTTTACTAAATTGCGACACATTGTTAAGAAAAAAAAAACTCAATGAGTTTTATTGCATCATGTATACAGAAGTTGGCTACCTCTGCTACAGCTAATCAACCGCCATTTTTTATTTCCGTTTCAATTGCAATTTACCCAGTACTAATCCGTCACAATTACTCTATCGCAATTACATATGCTTCTGTCCTGGTTCCTTGTCGTGTATCGCGCGGCTCTACGTTTCCCGACGACGAGAATAGCGCGAACGGAAATAGACGAACATAGCTTCTGGGAGCGTGGATGATGCCAGTAGCTTCGGGTGTCGTCGACCGGCAACTTTCTCAAACACAGAAATCTCGGTTCGATAAAAAGAATAAACATTTAGAAACTCTTCCGTTGTCCCCAAACGCGAGCTGTAAACAAACGATAAACTTGTAAATAATTACACAAATGGCAACAAAGGAAGGATAAAAGCGTGTAAAATAAAACGAACATCAGGTCGTAGCGTATAAATTTGATCGTAGGATTATAAAAGCTCGCCTAAAAATGTTGGACGAATCGAACGAGGAAGCCAACAATTACTTCAGTTCGAATCTGTTGGAGTTGCAAAACGCCATCAGTCCACAGGATTCGAAAAGATTCTCGTCCCTGAACAGCAACTCGGAGAGAATCGATTTCGTTCTTAGCTATCCGGAGGCCCATAGGCTTCCCTTGGAGATAGACAATCAGACGCAGAAGAACAGCGAGAAAGCTATTGGACTCAAGGACTTGGGTAACAAATATTTTGGCCACGGCGAGTTCCACAAGGCCTTGGAAATGTACTCGAACGCTGTCATGCTGGCACCTCAGGAAGGTAATTAATGGCTGTCGATACTATCGGTTGTATTTATTTAATATTGTTAAAACGTTCCCCGCCCCGTATACGGTATTTGTTCCGTGCGAATTTGTCGTCCGGGTAACGAACGGCACACTTCTCGTGAATTATACCTCTCGCCCGCTTAATTTATTGCGCCAATTTCATAATGGCGTTACAATTATGTCGACGTTTCTTAAATTCGACTCGACGGGAGTATTTTAAAAACTTATTCGATATAATCACCTCGACGCTTTGCTATATTATTTAACACTTTGACTGCCACACGTTGGTCATATATGACCGGCCACGGTGGTGTAATAATCAGTAGACTGCGGATATGTTTATGCATTTTGTGGCGCTGCTTCGCTGCGGGTAGGAACTCGTGAGAATTCGTAGGAGGACAGAAAAGGAAAGGAGGGGGCGCGTTTCGTCCGGGCCTGCCAGTGGACTCATCAGTAAGGCTTTCTAGCAGGCCCTGCCGTAAGGGGCCTTTCTACCTTGTGGGATTAAAAAAATCGATATTTTTTTTTTGCATTTTCCTTTAGTATGTAGTCTCGAAAATATGTCTACCAAATATTAAATTGAAATTCGGAAAACTAACGAAGTTATAGCCTGCTGAAATGTACCACACGCAGGTATAATAACTGGACGTAAAACTTTAAAGCTGTTTTTCTCGAAACTACATTTTTCGGCACTGCGTGCGTGATAACTAAAAAACTATTCAAGATATCAACATCAAATTTATACAGTATCTTCAGAACTGGTCTCCCTATAGCATGAACTAGGATAATTGCGATATATGCAATACTTTTTCTTTTATTAACAAAAAAGCAACCAAATATATGAAAATATTCAGTATTTTTTCGTAAAATAGCTGCCATTTTGCCATTTTTTGTTTTTTTCAAAAGATCCTAGTTCATGCTATAACCACACTCATCTATATTAAGAATATCGTTGGTTTTAGGATTTCGAATAACTTGTTCGCAAGATATCACGTACGCAGTCGGGTGCCGTTCGTAAAAACTGTTGTTTGATGATCAACAAAAACAGCGTAATCAATAGATATTATGCGTTGCAAAAATTCGTAAATATAGCTAAATATATAATAAATGTATCTACAAAATCCGGAATTAATCGCTCTTTAATAACCCGCAAAAAAAAATCACAAAGAAACACGTATTTTTCATGCCTACAAGGTAGAATGGCCCCTTAAACGACTGGGATATTGGGAAGTCGTTCGAGGAATGTATACAGGGTGTTCGGCCACCTCTAGCAAAAATTTTAATGAGCGATAGTAGAGCCCAAAATAAGACGAAAATCAAGAACACTAATTTGTTGGTGGAAGCTTCGTTAAAAAGTTATTAACGTTTAAAGTGCCGCTCTTACTGAATTTTTTTCTCGAAAATGCGCAAGATTTCGGGGGTATGTCTATTCACCAAAAATGACTGTAATTGAACCCGACAACCGAAAATAATTTTTCCACAACGATTTGCAATTTTTTAATTTTCTCGAATAATTTCACACCTTCTCTATTTTTTTTCTCGAAAGTGGGCAGGATTTCGTGGGTATGTCTAATGACAAAAAGTGATTGTAATTGACGCCCGCAACCGAAAATAATTTTTCCACAACGATTTGCAATTTTTTTTCTCCGTTGAAAAATTTAGGCACCTAATTGGATTTTCAGTAAGGAATTTTTTTCTCGAAAGTGCGTACGATTTCGGAGGTATGTGTAATGATAAAAAATGATTGTAATTGATCCCCGCAACCGAAAATAATTTTTTTAAAACGATTTGAAAAATTTTTTTTCGCCGAAAAATTTCAGCACCTACTCGATTTTTTTTCTCGAAAGTAGATAGGATTTCGGAAGTATGTGTACTCACCAAAAATGATTGTAGTTGACCCCCGCAACCGAAAATAATTTTTCCAGAACGATTTGAAATTTTTGAATTTAATTGTTAATAACTTTTTAACGAAGCTTCCATCAACAAATTAGTATTCTTGATTTTCGTCTTATTTTGGCCTCTACTATCGCTCATTAAAATTTTTGCTAGAGGTGGCCGAACACCCTGTATATAGCAACCGAGGGGTCGGTCGAGCGCTTGTGAGAGCGCGACCCCTCTGGTGGCGAGCATGGGAGGTGACGCCACACATTTATGGGAAATTTTAATCCTCAAAAAACTACAGAATGCATTTAATATGCAAAAATATAAGAAGTACTTAAAGTAAGATACGAATTATTATATTTAGGTGTTGAAACAACCTTCTGCGAAGCTTCCGTTTCATTAATTCTATTAATAAAAATGTGAATTTGCATAAAGATCCGCAGTCTAGTAATCAGTGATCGGAGCATTTGAACGGCTTACAATTGTAAGAGTTGAATGAAAATTGACGCTTGGTACATTTTGAACGTAATCGCTAATTAGAAGATACTTTGAAACAAGTGCTCCATTGAGCAATTAAATATTTTCATTGGAACATCGAAAATAAAAGATTAATTTCTATGAAATCTTGCATCTGGTGATGCACGTCCGTGGCGTCCTGAGCAAAACATGATTTTGGCGTAGCAGTCAAAGTGTTAAACGTATCTCGTATCTCTTCTATACAAAAATACACAAATAGTGTTAAAAATTTCTAAGATAGCGAATCAACCCTCTGCGCTCCGTTTCCATCGAGAGCAATTTATAAACGTTCGAACCAAAATCTGTTTCTCAGAGTTGGGTATCATACTGGCGAATCGTTCCGCGACGCTTTATTACCTGGAACGTTACAATTACGCTCTGATAGACGCGGAGGAAACTGTACGGGTCGGCTATCCGAAGGAATTGTTGTACAAAATCGAGGAAAGGCGCGCAAAGTGTTTGCTAGGCTTGAAACGGCACGCGGAGGCCGTGCAAGCGTTCAGAAGCGCTTTGACCGCCCTGGACCATACGAGATTGACGTTAGAAAAGAAACAGAAGCTCGAGTCCGACATTAGAATGATGCTCGCGGTGATGGAAAAGGGCGATCAAATGGCGCGGAAAGCGAACAAAATGCCGCCTCTCGAGACGCAAAAGGGTGGCGTACCGAAGAGACCGACTCCTAAAATGGAGAACTGTAATCCTTTGTATCCTGCGTGTAGCAAAGCGGTGGAAATTAAAGATGACGGCGGTGACGTTGGAAGACACGCAGTTGCTACCAAAAACATCGAGCCCGGTGAAATACTGGTGATAGAGAAACCACATTGTGCGTTATTGTTGGCCGAATATAGGTACAATTGTGAATGTTCGTTATTTATTGCACGGGATATATTATTATAAACTTTTGATATTTCGTTTCAGACTCACGCATTGTCACTTTTGCTTTTTGAGAATATTCGTACCGACGCCAGCCGCTTGCAAGATGTGCAGCTGGGTGGCTTACTGCGGTATCCGGTGCAGAGACATGGACGCAGAAGTGCATCGAACCGAATGCATGCTGCTGCCCGCATTGTGGCGTTCAAACATATCCATAACGTGTTTCTTAGCCCTCAGGTCGGTTACGCAGCGATCGTTCGATGAATTGTTCAAAATGAAAGACAGACTGGCAACTTCGAAGGGTAGATTCGAAGTAACGCCACAGCGACCCCATCAGAGCGACGACTTTGAAGCCTACTATGGACTAAGTAACGCTCATCGCTAAAATAAAATTAACGATCACTTGGTATTTTTATCAAACTGAAATTACTATTAAATTAGAACTAATTCATTCCGAAGCTTTATTTTTTTTTTTTTATGTTCCGAAACTGATTCGTTTACCTGGAACGATTGAATACTTTCTCCGATGTTTACAGTTTTATTTGGCTTGGATCATTTTTTAAAAACTCTTAAGGAGCACGGCGCACCTGAGTACAATTAGGCTATGTTCTTCTTTATTCTTCGTATACAATTTCTACAAGAAAAGGTATAAAGGGAGTTCGGCCAACCCCGGGAAAAATTTTAATGGGAGATTCTAGAGACCAAAATAAGACGAAAATCAAGAATATCAATTTGTTGATTGAGGCTTCGTTAAAAAGTTATTAACGATTAAAGTTCCGCCAGTACTGAATTTTTTGCTCGAAAATGCGCAGGATTTCAGAGGTATGTCTATTGACCGAAAATGATTGTAATCGACCTCTGCAATTAAAAATAATTTTTTCAGAACAATTTGAAATTGTTTAATTTTGTCTAAAAATTTCAGTATCTACTCGAATTTTTTTCTCGAAAGTGAGCAGGATTTCGAGGGTATGTCTATTGACCAAAAATTAAAGTAATTGACCCCCGCAACCGGAAATAATTTTTCCAGAACGATTCGAAATTTTTTTTTCGAAAAATTTAAGCACCAACAACCCTGTCGATGTTTCTTGAAAATTTGTTTTTCATTTTTAATAAATTTGGTTGGCGCTGTACAGAAAAGTTGTTCAATACTTTTTTGTAGGTATCCATGAACTCTGGTTCTCCCCAAAATTTCAATGAAATATACTGACTATTGTAGGAGTTATGGCTGTTTGAAAATTGGATCATTTTTATGGTGTTTTTCTCATTTTGCGAAGTCAAGGAATAGCTTTTCGAATATTTTTGAAATTTCTACATATTCTCTATTAAAATACGCGTTGTTTGCTTTTTGAAACATTAAAATCCTCCAATCCGTTCAAAAGTTACGATGTTTAAAAGACTCTCATGAAAATTTCTGCAGATATTTCTGGTCAAGAATTATATTTTCGGTGAGGAATTTTTTTCTCGAAAGTGGGTAGGATTTCGCGGGTAGGTCTATTCACCAAAAATGATTTTAATTGACCCCCGCAACCGAAAATGATTTTTTTAGAATGATTTGAAACTTTTTAATTTTATCGTAAAATTTAGGCACCACCCCTTGTCAATTTTTCTTAAAAATTTCTTTTTCATTTTTAATAAATTTGTTTGACGCTCTACAGAAAAGTTGTCTAATACTTTCTTGTAGATACCCATGAGCTCTACTTCAGAAAAAAGTTTCAATGTGATACGTTCACTATTGTACGAGTTATGGCTGTCTAAATATTGGACTAGTTTTGGGGGGTTTTTCTCACTTTACGGTGTCAAGATACAAATTTTTCAATATTGTTAAAACTTCTACATATTCTCCACTAAAATACGCGTTGTCTGCATTTTGGTCTCACATTAGATTTTCGGTAAAGAATTTTTATTCTCGAAAGTGCGTAGGATTTCGGGGGTACGTTTGTTCACCAAAAATGCTTGTAATCGACCCCTGTAAACAAATATAATTTTTTCAGTATGATTTGAAATTTGTTAATTTCATCCAAAAATTTCAATACTTGAATTTTTTTCTCGAAAATGGTTAGAAATTCAAGGGTTTGTGTATTCACCCAAAATGATTGTAATTAGGGACCGCAACCAAAAATAATTTTTCCAAAATGATTTGAAATTTTTTAATAACTTTTTAACGGAGCCTCAGTCGAGAAATTGATATTCTTGATTTTTGTCTTATTTTGGCCTCTAGAATCTCCCATTAAAATTTTTCCCAGGCGTGGTCGAACACCCTGTGTGTAAAGTATAAGTATAAATGTAATGTTTCTCGCGTAGTAACGCACGAAGACGAAAGAACGACAGAAGATCTAATCCACAGAACCTACATAGCCAGTTGGTTATTGAGACTCTTAAAAAAAGGCTCGTATTTCCCTCGGGGTGTTAAAACCGAAGACACGGCTGAAACAAAACTCTCCGAAGGTGAATTATTTATAGGAGGTTTAATTTTACAAAGCTTGATGTTGCTGCAATTCAATACTCACGAGGTAAATCATACGTGTCTAATTAAAGAATTGTGCACATTTTATTTGAACAAACTATTAACCAAAAAAGGAACCCTCTTCGTTTTAGCACGCATATTTGTACTTTTAATATCGTTTATCGTCTCGTTACTTTCCCGTTTCTCAATTTTCAGATATCAGAGTTGGCAATACCAAGAGGCAAAAAAACCTTGGCAAATGCGAAAAGCATTTTTATAGGTGGTGGATTGTATTCAACGGTATCGCTATTTAATCATTCGTGCAGTCCTGGTATCATCAGGCAAGTGGAGAACCCTTTATTTAGAAACAGCAACTAATTCCTGCAAAATTTACATGCAACAATTAAAGTAAACTGATAAATACTATCTTCGAACGCCTAGATATTTTGTCGGTACTACTATGGTTGTACGAGCTGTTCGTTCGATCGCGAAGGGCGAAGAAATCTCTGAAAATTACGGTCCAATTTTTACGATGTCTCCTGAAACTGAACGTAAGAGAACACTGAGACTGCGGTACTGGTTTGACTGCAAATGCGAGGCATGTACGGCGCATTGGCCTCTTTTGGAAGATATCGATCCGACGATTCTCAGGTATCGTTATCTAAAACACAAAACCAAGGGGGACAATTAGTGTGAGAGTATTTCTACTAAAGTCTAAAACTCTTGTCATTCTTTACACTCACCGTCGAAACAAGTCGTTTAAAGATCTATTCGTTTGCAAAATTTTATTCTACTCTTGCAGATTTAAATGCGAGACTGGAACAGAATGCAAGAATATTTTACCTGTAAGAACGGACACGAATGAGTTCATGATTAAGTGTTCCAAATGTGGCAACAATACGAACATCCTAAAAGGTTTGAAAGCCTTACAAGACACGGACGCGCTTTACAAAATTGCCGCGCGAAACTTGGAAGAAGACAAAAACGTGGAAGCGTTGAAATACTATTTGGAAATACTGAGGCTTTTGGACGAAACCCTCGCTCTGCCTATAAGAGATTATCACCTTTGTCAGCAAGGTGTTCGGTTATGTATGCTCACTTTAGGCAATGTCGCGTACGTTTAAAAAATTCACTGTGTCAAACGAATTGGGAGAGGTCCGTTTGATAATAAGCGAGAAACAATTTCTGAATGCTGCAACGAGACATTTGTTTTTTTTTTTTTATTATCCGATCATTTGTATGCAAAATACAGTACAGGAGGTACGAGTTACGAACACTGATCTGCTGCTACGTTGGTACTTTATTATTATTTAGCAGTAGACATCAAATCGCTATTTGCAATAGGAAAGCAAAAATAATGATACGATACACGTTTTTATTTTTAGCCTTAGTTTCGTAAGAGTACAAAATAATTAATACAACATAAAACGACCATATCTTTCTTTTTTTTTCTCTCCATGTCTTCTTCACACTGAAACGTTTCTGGCCCAAAGTCTATATCGATTCTGCCGTCAGTTCCCACTCACGGATATCCTGATGATCGTTAATTATTCTTAATTGTAAATCGAATCTTATCGCACTCGTACACTTTAAAGCAATAAGCACATTTCGTAGGATATCCAACGCACTTGGCAGCTCGCGTCACAAAAGAAACCTTGTCCTGACATTTGTATACTCTGCATCTATGTGTGTAATACACGCGTGTGTAAGATGTGTGTAATACACGCGTGTGTAAGATGTGTGTAATACACGCGTGTGTAAGATGTGTGTATACGTATGCATAGACTGCGTGTGTGTATCAGTGTAAGAATATTACGCATGTACCTGACTTTCATGCGTGCATAAAATTAACAACTTAAACGCTAAATGTGTGTGTGTGTGCGCGCGTGTATGTGTGTTTATGAGTGAGCGTATCTGTACTTGGTGAAATAAATATAGCGAGATGCACACAAAACACTCGTACGGAATGGAAAGCGATACCCACAAGGATACAATCACCGAGTGTGCTTTACAACGCGCAAATCCACATTGTGCTACAGTATCCAGAAAGCGTAAAATTCGACGCTGGAGATTTGACTCGCGACATTCATTCGATCGTACTGTTTTCAACCCGCACACGTCACTATATTTCACAACCCCGGTATATTTATTTCAGCAAGTATGCGTGTTTGTTTCGTATCATATGAAATGTCTTTTACTCTTTATTATCATCATTGCTTCATCCGAGTATGTACGCGTGGTAACGATTATTATTATTGTTTCTTTATGTACATATAAAATCAGTTTTCTTTTGTCTTCCATCCGGCACAATTAGTCGGTCCGTTCTCTCGACACTTTTAGCACCTAACTGTAAGTAAATAGAGAATAAACTTAAAAATGATTCGCTTGGTTCTAAATTTAATTTCGCTACATCGCTGCCTTTGCACTGCGCGTCGTAATCTCAGTGTAAAGTGGATATAACAGACGAATTAAATCAAAACTGTCGTAATAGGAATATTTGGATCATTAGTATCACAGATCGTTTATCATGCTATTTAAGTCCATCCGGCTAGTTCATTTAGTTGACAAGTATAACGAATGATCCCCATTTCAACACACGCTCGTAGACCGTATATCACGAAAGGGATTCCATTCCCGTTGTAAAAGCAAAATCTGACTAATGCTTCCTTTTAGTCTTTTTCATTTTTGTTTTTAATTTGGGGTTATATCAATACCGTCTGTCACGGGAATCCGAACGAGAACGACGATCTCGGCTGCGGCTACGGGTCAGTGATCTCCTGCGAGGGCTACGGGACCGTGACCTAAAATATTAAAAAAACATTTTACACCACTTTTACTCAAATTGGGGAAACAGTTTATTAATGTGCAACTCCCCACTTCGTCTCAAAATTTCACGACGCTAGAACCATCGGATCGTATTAAGCACCTCGATTGAAAATTACACTAAAACTTTATCTAAAAATGTAATATCGAATACATTGTAAAACGAAATATGAAACGAAATAGAACGTCGCACGTTAAACACATAGGTACAAAAATGATCGCAAGGCAACCGTAATAGAATTAGGACTGGCTAATTCCTATTTGCCTAAGGGGTAATAAAACTAGTTAGACACAATAATTAATACAAAATGACATCTCACCAATAATGAGAAACCAATAAACGAAAGTAGGATTAATTTGGTTAAATTAAATCTTTACAAGTAATTGTTCAATATATATATGTACATATTAATAGATATATAAAAGAAAATGTATGTACATACATATATATATTGATAAATACATATTATGTAACGGGCGACAGTTCCCTGGTCCAATGTATGCTGTACCGCCAAAGAAATTAAAGCGAAATGATAAACGCAAGGTGTCTTGCGTTCTTTTACTAATGATCTGCCGAATAAAACGTAAAATTATCTAGTATGAATACTGGTATTGGACTACAGAGAACGTGACGCCGTGGTAAAAAAAAAAAAAGATAAAAAATCTTTGAAAATCGGTGAAATACCAGACAACTGTGAACATGTAGTGGTGGTTGGTGGTGGTGGTACTTGGTTGGGTGGTGGTGGGATGGTGTGTAGGTGGTGATCATTTTGCTTTGCTCAGTTGAAGAGAAGTGGCGGTCGCGTTGTCGGCTAAGTTTAACGTGATGGTTGACGAGTAGTAGTAGTAGCAGTAGTAGTAGTAGTAGTAGAAGTTGGGACGGACGGACGGACTGACGCGTCGAGATTTTGACAGAAGAATTCGTTCATATCGCGTCGGCTGTTCGATGGATTCACGATGCTCCTAGCCGCTAGAGGTTGAGGTAGCCCGAAGAAGTCTTTTTGAAGGGGAACAGACGGACTGACGGACTGACGGACAGCATCGGACTGTCAACTGACGGACGACTTGGCTCCTACCGGTGACTGGTGGTGACTGATGGTGACTGGTTGGGAAGTTAGTGGGCAGGCAGGCTTTTTTTTGTTCAGTTTTGATTGCTAGACTTTTTTTCACGGTGGCTGTAGTAGTAGTAGTAGTAGCAGTAGTAGTAGTGGCGGGGAGACGAGCAGAGCTAGGAGCTGACGCTGGTAGAATCTGCAAACGTCAGTTTTAGCAATATAACCATCAAAGTTATCATACTCCTGGCCACTATCGGTATACACGAGTTTTTCTTAATCCAAATTTACAAAATTTGCACATGTTTCACTCATCAACGATAGTTCTCATTACGATTAATATATCCTAGACTGCCCACTCTAATGCGTACAAAAGAAGACTCTACTTGCAACTAATCGATTAAACTTATATGATGGATGTATAAATCATCATGTTATCATTTATGTACTTATCGTAACGCATAGTGCAGTATGCAAAAATAATACAGTGTATTATAACAGCAAAATAAAAATTCAGCTTTAAAAAGCTAATGTAGGAAATATAATTAAGGTAATTTAAGCTGCTTCGATGCGTGTACGATAAATAAATGTGACTAAAGCACCAAGTGCATTTTCAGCTATTCGCACATTAGTGTGCATTTAAATATCAAAATTTTTTTTTGTACGATGTAAGAAGCTATGTAATTTATATTTCATTCGATATCTGAAAAGTTTGTTAACGATTTAATACGATTGAACGAAATGATATCTTAAATAATTACTAGTGACCTTAAATATGTAAAACGTGATAATAAGTCTTCAGATACCGAATAACTACTGTTTTCAGGCACTTACACAGTATAACCAATCAGATTCTATATGGTAAGAGCACAATAAGCGTTAGAAATAAGTTGCTTTCAAATGATAAAATTAACACCAGACACCGCTATGATTTATTTTTATACGCCACCGGTGCTACTTTCTATGCACCGAACGAGCTTCATAGTTACCAACTAATTCTTGATCTCGTATAAATTTCTTTTTTCAGTGTTTCAAACTCTATCTTCGTCCTCCGTCTACCGCACTTTGTTTTAATACTGTTCTCTCCAACTTATGCCAATCAATTAAACATTTGACCACCGATCGTGACAATTACGCAATTTTCAATATTCAATTCATTTTGAATTACTCTACATGTTTTATATGATACATTGTGATTCTGCGTGCAAAATTGCGATGATCACAATACAAGCGGTACTTGCAAATACCTACTTGCAACTGTAGATTGGCTGTTCTTGATAAGGCCCTGAAAATTTGGTAAAATCAGAAAATCAGAAAATATTACCTGGAACAACGACTTATCGGTGATCTGCGCGGACTTCTTGGCCAGGACCTAAACAAAATTAAGAAAAACTGTTGTATGTTTGACCGCTCATAATGTTGTCGATCACCGTGTTTCACTTTGATTTTTCTTTTGTCTACTCGAACCTGAAAATTTTCGGTCAACGGGGCTAGGAAAATCTTACCTGGGGTAACGACCCAGTGATCTCCTGCGAGGACTGCGAGATCGGGACCTATAAGGTTGTCAAAAAGATATATGGTTCGTGAATTCCAGTTGTTTGCTAAGCATAGTCACAAGGAGATTACAAAGGGGAAAAATTAACTCTAATGATTTGCTACCTCTGCCATAACTAAAACTTTGCCCTAACATTTCTTGTTTACGTTACCCATGCAGTGTATTTGATTGCTCTTTGGCTAATGTTGCAAACTTCCAAATGTGTTACGGAAATGATCCATAATGTTCAAAATTTCTTTCATTGTTATCTTATGCACTAATATTCATCTTTGTTTCTTTATTAGTGAAAAAAAACAGCCAAAGAGCATTAAAATCAAATAAATGCAGTATATAGTATATATTCTACCCGCATTCCTATACAAAAATACTTAAAAAAAATATTAATTTATCCGCTGTGCATAAAAAAATTCACCGAAACCCGTGCATAGTTTCTTGACATTCTTATTCATTAACTGCACTGTAATACCTACTTGGCAAGACACTTTAGCCATCTGCAGCAGCTCAATGTTGCTGTAAAATGCGGATGCTTAACATTTTGAGATTCCTTACCTGGAGTATCTTGGACCTGGTCTCCGTCCACCACCACCACGCCGACTTCTTCCGGAGGACATCTCTACCCTTACTCTGGTTCCACAACAGCGTCTGTAAACAAAACAATTAATGTTTGTTACAGTTAACTTTGCTGCTCTTTTAATATATCTCATTATGTATTGGTTAAATACTGAGGGTGTTCGGCTATCCAAAATTACTGACTTGAACCAAAAATTATGGCTAGCCCACCCTTATAAAATACTAAACATTCTCTATATTATAATACTTACGTTCCATCTAGTCCTCTAACTGCATCTTCAGCATCTCTTGGATCTTCAAATTCCACAAAAGCAAATCCGGGTGGATTTCTGGCAACCCACACGTTTCTTAGTGGACCGTATTTACTAAACGCACTTTCAATTTCATGTTTGCTAGCGCTACTACCCAAGTTTCCAACATAAACTTTGCACGAAAGATCCCATTCACGGTAACGTGACATTTTGTCTGTAATTGATAATGAAATTAAAAATATTATTTGTTTCGTAAATAATAAAGACAGTATCATAATACTATTATTGTGGATGACGTAAGTATACTAAGTAGCTAAACTGGTAACATGCTTTGATTCTACCTTGAACAAAGATTTCATTACATAATTATTTAAATTCATGCTCATCACAGTATAACATATAGAAAACTTTGTGACATTATGCACAAATTAAATTTGATCTCTTAATAACGTTAGTCTTATTAGTTTGATATTTTTCAACATGAAACAAGAGAAGTGCTATTGTGTTGCACGATATTATTTGACACAGTTTTCAAAATGACCCCTGGCATTAAAACTGTTAAGGAGACTGGCAAACATTTTCATTTGTGTTACACAAGAACCCTGGGATTAATTGTAGCAGCATAAGAAAGATAAAATAGAATAGTCTTAACAAACTATCGCTGATCAACCATTCTTGAAACTAACTTTATGTGATTCTAACTAAGTGATTTTATTGTTTTAAACACAAACATATTTTTCATAGATAAAAATATCATTCACGACAATTCTATTATCGGATTCAACAACAGATTATGAATGAGTTATTGACAACCACTGTCAGTTTACCTATATTACAAAAATATCGACCGGCAACGAAAATACTGTTCATTGAAGTATTTACAGCACAAAGCGAGCTCATATTTTAGCCGTACAAATTAAAAATTCAAGATTAATATACGTAACAAATTACAATTATAACCATATCAGATGGACACAAAATACAGACGACTATACGGAAAAGGGAAAGTCAGAATACCGCCATGTTGTGTTCTCAATTTACTGCAGGGACGAAGACTAATTATACCAAATATAAATATTTCGATTTATAGAAGAAAAGCTGTATAATTTTATTTAAAATACTAAAATATTAAATAATAATTGTTTCTTTCGCACTTGCACTCTTATAAATACAGAAATAATGAAAGAATTAGCCAATGTCGGAACTAACAGAAACGACGCCATGGATATTTTGTACTATTTTCTCAATTCATCCACGATACATTTAGATGTAATTGCAAATAAACAACTTTACGTTTATTTTGAACGAAATACTTTGTTTTACTTACATTTTAAGTGATTAAATTTATTAAAAGTACTTTATAACTTTCCGACACACACAACCGCTCCTTTGAACCGCGCAAGTAGAAATGCTCACAAAATGGTGGCGTGTGTAGCGTTGATCTTCTTCCGTGGCCTCCTTTCTAAGATGGCATTGGTGCATGTATATTGCCTTCTACTTTCTGATCAAATGAACATTTAAAACTTTTATAACATTTCTATATTTTTGCATAAAAATTACATTTTTAATGTTTACCGATTTATATATTTCAAACACTAATTAATTCAAAATACTTTTAATTATTAGTGTAAAAATAAAATACTTTATTATGCTTTAATTGTAAATTACGTATTAGTGCCGTTAAGTAAAATCTGTTTATTATTGAAGAGCTATTTTATTTTTCTAAAAAAACCTTTCTATTGTTCACATAATAGTAAAAAAACAACGTTAAATAATTGTTTCCAAAAATCGATAAATACCCTAATTTGATTCATATTGTACAGGTAGTAGATTAAATAGCATACTCTAACCTGTATGCCAATGCGTGGAGAATTAAATTTAAAATACGGTCAATTATCTTCATCGATGACATATGTTAATGTAATTAGGACAAATAAAATATAAATTTCGTTTATTTTTACGTTTTTTAAATTATAAAAAAAATTGTATTATATACAACGGTATAAAGGGATTTACAAAACTTATTACTATAATTGAAAATACAATACTAATTTGTTTTATAATTTTTCCATTAATGAACAAGCCTTTTATAGTCAATTTTCTCAAGTTGGACTAAAGGTTTTAATTGTTCTGCAAAAATTCTCATGTCTTCTGCTATCGCATCTTGACCACTTGGTGCTAACACACTCAATTCGACTAGATAACTTTGAGATATAGCTTCCATACTTTCAGGCATTTTTCCTTGTTGAGCCATTTTAAATATCTTGGAAACAGTGACTTTCATTCTACCTTTACGGAACATATAACCACGTGCAATGTATTCAAAATCCAACCTACATCCAAGTTCTGTCAGAAAGTCGACAACTGTATTACTGGTTGCTATATCTAAGCTACTTCTAACTATTGTAGGACGTGATTTGTCACCAAGTTCAGGTTGACCGATATAACGTAATTGCCAAGGCATGTCTTGATAATCTAAAGCTCTTCTCACATGCAAAAGCAACGGTTGTTCTGATCCCCTAAAACATAAAACGTTTAACAATTATGTGATTTCTTCAGGTAATTTGATATTTTTAACAATGTTTCTCAACTTATATTATCTACCTGATACTGAAACACATTTCATGGTCATAAAAGGTTTCTGGTCCAGTGTCAACATTATCACATAAACCACGTAACCTGTGAAGTAACACTTCTACAGCACTGTCCAACACTGATCCTTGTAATAAATATTCTTGATTTGGAATTATGTTAGATTTAATTGCAGCTGTTAAGCTGTCCATAGCTGTACTTATTGGAGCACTCATTTTCAAAATTTCAAATTTAAAGCAATATATATATATATATATATATATATATGTTTCTTATTTAAAAGATATACGAATGTTTGACAAATATGTAGTTTTAGGTTAAGGTAGAACTTCAACACTTTATTATCATTGTTCTCCTCCGAACATAGATGCAAATTTTATCCAACATAATATACCTAAATAATCTCCAAAATATTAGTGACTAACTTCACGCAAAATCTCGTAACCAGAGATGCCAGAAAAGCACCGCCGGGTGCACACGCACACATGCCAGATACGCGTACGTGAGCTCGTGGAGTTTCGGAAAGTCGACAAAGGCAAACTGACGCATGCCCTCTTTCTCGATTCTCCGAAGCTGTCCGAAGTAATTTCGGATCGCCTCGTGGGAGTCGAGAGAGAAAGGCTCACATTTGCCTTCTCGCTCTAAACAACTGAAATCCGACCTCCCGTCAACGGCATACGATTTAGATTCTCGAGCCGAGATTCTCGACTGCCCAGGCATTTTTACTTTCCGACCTATGTAGGCGCACATAAGCAAAGTACCCATAATGAAAAAAAAATTTTGTAAAATTTATTTTACGGAAATACACGTTTTAAGACCTCCTGATCATATTTTAATTATTGAAAAAAAAGAAATTTTTTTATTCCCATGTATGAGCACACATATGTATATTATTATTACGATTGAGTATAAATAGCTAAATGAATTTAAATGAAACTTTACATTTAAGTTTTATGTTCTCATTTCAAAGTCCGGTTAGACTTTGACTATAATCAGTCCATGGATAATAATGATTATACCTCTTGTTTCATAGTTGTTCCGATATATGTATAGGCATAATGTATAAAAAATCTTTTAAATGTTTCATATAAATCTTAGGACGAATTAAATTTTATATATGTTATACAGACGCGTAGAATGGAATTAGGAATTAAGAAATACGTAGGGTATTCGTATACATGCTTTATTCCCGTTCTTTCAGCGTCGGAAAAACAAATGAGCCCGTCCTGGGCCTAGACCCACGCCTTTGTCGTCAGCCTTCTCCCCCATCGGTAGGGGTGGGAGTGTTGACGGACGAAGGCCAGACGCGGTCCCTTGCCAGCGCCTCGGCTTGGGCCTCGCCTTTTCCCGACGCCTTACATATAAAAAAAATTATATAAACTTTTTCTCTATCTTCTCTAGAAAAGAAAAAATTATATGAAATCTTATACATTACATGCTTACTTAAATCGCATTGAAAACGAATACCACAAATGTTTTAGAATAATGTGCAAAATGTGATTACGATTTTCGCTAAGACAAATTGAAAACTCGGTTCTAACAAGGAAAAGTTGGAATGGTACCCGATTTTGGGTTAGGTTTTACTTTGAAATATTAATAAAGTTATTACAGATACTTATCTTCAGAAATAGAAATACATTCAACAACCAGCGTGGCGTGAATGACAAGGTATTTGCCTGCAAGTTCCGAGCTTCTTCTGCTCTGCAGGTTCAAACCCTGCCAAAACAAATCCTTTTTTTTATTTTTTCAATCATATTTTAATCGTACACTAAATGTGACATTATATTTTTGTCTGACCTTCGAATATTTTTTTTTTTAAATTGAATTTAACATATGTTATTTTCAATGTACGAAGTACATGAATCTGGATGGTACTTTTCGTAAAAACAGTGAAAACATAACAATTTCAAGCACCACCTACATCTAATGAAAGTTCTGTTTTCACAGAAATAACAAAATTTTGTATCTAACTCTGATGGAAAGGCCGCTTCATTTACATTGATAAAATGTGAACGATTTTCGGATAGTCGTACCTTGTAGCTCGTACTTTTTACCTTATACTTCAGGTAAAAAGGGATATAGCTGGGAAAAACAGTTTTATGACATTACCTGCTAACTTATGTTACTGTTCTACAATGAAACGCTATGTTTTGTACCTTTAAAAATATTCGACTATGTCCTTTTAAAATTTAAGATGCAACCCATACTTTGTATTAAACTGGCAAACGGGATCACTTTTCCTTTGTTTCTAGTTAGTTCTATTTAGTTTGTCATAACAAATTGATATGGTTATCTCAAAACAATCAAGGAAAATCATTATTAATTAATTTCTGCAATTATTAATTCTACTGTTTTGTTTATGTTATAAAAGTAAGAACTCTTCTTATTGAAAAATACCACAGCGTGCACAATACTGGTAAAGAGTAGAATCTCATTTTAATTTATTAATTTTCAATCTTAAAGTATTTTGATTTTGAAAAATCGTATTAATAATATATGTACATTGTTGTATGACTAACTCATAAGCCAACATAGATACCGCACTAGAATCATCCTTACACAAATATCCCAGTCATAGGTTCCAAACTCCAGCCTTTCTAGCCTCCTGTACCCGCTTACTCATCCTGTACCCGGTTACTCATTCCGTACGCCACCATTGTCACCCTCAAATATATAAACGACGCACATTTTTGGACTCAAGTCAGATCTCTGTAGTTTGTACTAACGTGCGGAACTTGCCGTAACGATCGAATAAAACCACCAGTCTCTCTAGTAAAGTGTTGTTCTTAATCCCGCAACCCGGGATCCAACAACATATGCACGCTCATACATGGGACTAATAAAAAAAATTTCTTTTTTTTCAATAATTAAAATATGATCAGGAGGTCTTAAAACGTGTATTTCCGTAAAATAAATTTTACAAAATTTTTTTTTCATTATGGGTACTTTGCTTATGTGCGCCTACATAGGTCGGAAAGTAAAAATGCCTGGGCAGTCGAGAATCTCGGCTCGAGAATCTAAATCGTATGCCGTTGACGGGAGGTCGGATTTCAGTTGTTTAGAGCGAGAAGGCAAATGTGAGCCTTTCTCTCTCGACTCCCACGAGGCGATCTGAAATTACTTCGGGCAGCTTCGGAGAATCGAGAAAGAGGCCATGCGTCAGTTTGCCTTTGTCGACTTTCCGAAACTCCACGAGCTCACGTACGCGTATCTGGCATGTGTGCGTGTGCACCCGGCGGTGCTTTTCTGGCATCTCTGCTCGTAACTATACATATACATATCTAAACCATAAACAGTAGAAATAGGTACATGCTTTGCAGCAAGTATATTAAATAAAATAGTTCTCACAAATTTTGTCGGTTCGTTCAACTATATGTTTATGCACACAAATTATTACTCTAAAATTTTTTCACAGTATAGTTACATAAATATCTTTGTGGAATAGAATCTGAGTATCGCCGTTATAACCTTATGTAGCGTTGTACATGCAATGAGTACCTATAATTATATAATATAAAAAACTAATAATATTTAATTTCAATATCAAGCAAAATTTCTTTCACAACTTCTAGCGCAAAAGAATCATATGAATACAATATTTGTATCAATCTTATGAATTCTACGTAAGAGTATGTTCTTATAAATAACAAAAATTTAATTGTATTTACAAATAAATCTAAGTACTATAAGAGGCTGGTAAATTTGAAAGCAAGATGAAAAAAGGGAAAGAGAGATTTTCCATTTGCTCTACCTATCCCTATTGTTGATCACCTGTCTCTACGTTTCGGTCTTCGGATCTCGGTAACGCGCCGAAAATACGTATAGTAAACAAACAGGGACTCTAGACTCTAGACCATAATCTGGGCCTACACATTCCTGTGCCTCGCAAACTTAACAGCCCTCTACGATATTATTATATTTTTAAAATGAATGCACACATTTAAACAGCCGGCTATATAAGTAGTTATTGGCAAATTACGCAAACGTTTGTTGCTTCTGTTAATGAATAGATAAGATTGAATGCGCAAGCGCAATACGAAATTTACAACATGGCGGAACGCAGGAAAAGCAGGAAGCGCAAAGATGTAAGCATCGCATATGGCTGCAATTATTGTGATATTATTCAACCGTACATGTGTGTTGTTTTGTTTATTTGGTAATCGGAAGTATAACACAACCTTTTATGTTAGGTTAATTTTATTTTATTCCTTTAAAACACGTGTCACTGTTAATAACTATTTCAACTCAGTCCATCGGATGACGTAGCAAACACATCATTCATATTCTCTATTCAAAATTCTTCAATTGATCTTAATTGTATAATTAGTTTTCCTTTTATATATTCTTTATTTTCTTATTCATGGAAATTTGACAGCTGTGCTAAAGTATTCCTTGCACAGAGATTGTAGATTAATTACAAATTGTATTCTGGCATACTTCGGGTCACCATCTGTATCGTCGGGGTTTTTATTATTCTGGCTCTTTAAAATCATCAAGTCGTATTTTAATTTAAACATTTTTATTATATAGTAAAATTTGCATTTATTCGATGGTCCATATCATTTTTACAAAATAAATAAATAGCGATTGAATAAAGAACGTTATAAAAACGTCAAAAATGAAAATTTTATTTTATACAACAGGAAGTGTCAAGTACAGATAATGAAATTGTTCAAGAAAAACCATCTAAAAACGAGTATGTTATAGCTAAATGGATTCGTAACAATGTACCATCAAAAAAAACAAAATTTGACAGAAATCACAATGTCGAATACTTCACTGGCACACGTGCAGTGGATGCTCTATTGGAAAACTCCCCATGGAGCAAATCTAAATTTGAAACACGCGAGCAGGTCACAGAATTCCTCGATTTGATGTTACGGCATAAATTCTTTCATAGAGCAAAAAAAGTAGTAATTTCTGAAGAAGAATTATGTAAAATACGTGGAATAAAGAAAAAAGTTAAAGAAATTAAGAAAGAGAAGAAACCTACTGAAAAAGAGAAGGAGGAGTCCAAGAAGAATAAAGATGCAACAACTGGAAAAGATATTGAAGACAAAAGTGAAGAGAAAAAGAAAAAACCAAAAGTGAGTTTTGATAATTAAAATAATAACTAATTTATAAAATAATGTAAATTGTTTCACATGTAAAATATAATGGAGTAGAAACTAATTAAAATAATTATATATGTAATAACCTGAATTAATAAATAATCAGGTACGACTAGAAATGCACATGGAACAATATTTTGTGGATTGCAATGATGCTTATGTTTGGATATATGAGCCAATTCCAGTGTACTACTGGTTTTTTGGAACACTTGTAGTGTTAGGTGCAATTGGTCTCTGTCTGTTTCCATTGTGGCCATCAACGATCCGTCTTGGTGTATATTATATAAGCGTTGCAGCTGCTGGATTCCTTGTATTCATTTTGGCATTAGCGATTATTAGATTAATTGTGTTTTGCCTTCTTTGGGTTCCAACACTTGGTAGATGTCATCTTTGGTTTCTGCCCAATTTGACAGCAGATGTTGGATTCTTTGCTTCATTTTGGCCCCTCTATCAAGTATGTATCAATTTTTAATTAATCGTTATTTACGAAGGATAAATTTTACGTATATTTATTTTTAGTACGATTACTATGGTTTCACGTCTGAATCTGATAAAAAACTAAAAAAGAAAAGAAAGAAGGAGAAAGATTTTGATTCCGACGAGGCAACATCAACTAACTCGTACGTTTAAATTCACATTAATATTATTAGTTAGTAACTATTCAGAATCAAAATAATAACTTTTTCACAATTTTTAAATCAATGTTAAGGGTTTGTACAGTTAAGGATGCAAAAAATTCGGGCAGAGCCCGATACATATAAGGTAATTGGACTGTTTCGGGTTCATTCGACGCAATTCGACCCAAGATGCATCGAGCATTGCCCAAATTTTCCAATATTTTTACGGACCAAGCCCGAATTTCGGAACACCCACAGTCTCCGTAATCAATATCATTTTTTATCATTTTTTTCTGCAGGGAAGATAAATCTAGTACAAAAGAATTACATTCAGAATATACTCAAAGTGAAGAAATTACACCTAGCGACGAGAAGAAGCTTCCTTCAACCGAATCGGCAGAGGGTGAAGAAGGCAGTGAAAGTTCAGAAAGTGAAAAGTCAAATACAGGTCGGGATTTTGTGATGCTTTAGAACAGGAATTTTTGGCAATAAATAGATTCCCTTTATTTCCACCAACTGCCGTGTCAATCAATGATTAATTCTTGTCTATTCTGATGAAGTATTATCTAGATCCATACACATAAGTCAAGCATTTATGTGTTGTTGTTAAATTTTTGAAACATGTACGGTTTGTTTTGTTAAAAAATAAGCAGGATTTTAATATTAGTCAATCACGGCAGGAAACGAGAAAACGGTACATCAATTTAGCAAACACAATTCGCTTATTGCTGATACCAATATCTTTGCATTTCTTGCATTTAGACTGCTATAGTCAAGTAAACAAGATGGTACGTATATTTTACAGAAATGAAATTTTTGTAAACTGTGGTATAATAATGCCAACTTTGAGATTCCAGAAGTATGCGTATTTTTATTTAATTGATCAATAATCGACATTTGTTTAGATATTTACATGATACTTGTAAGAATTATTTTGTGGAAATGTATAATTATGTTAATATAGGTGCCTGAGATTTTCCTGCATCAGTTGCAAGCTGTTTTTAACATTTTACATTGTATGATATTGTATTCCGCCATAATTACTATAAAATTTCAGTAACATGGTTTTCTCAGGTTTCATAAATGTACAGAACTGGTCAAATAGAATCTCCATGAACAAGACTAAAATTATTTCCACCAATTGTTACTTTGTCTGCGAGTTCCTTTTCAGTAGAACTAAAACTTCATATTTCACAGATTTAATATAACAAATTGTAATTTATATTTTTATGTAAACTGTCCAACTATAATAATTATTATTGTATTAATAACATTATTACGGTATCTCATTTTAATCATTGCAGGCACGCTGAATAGTCAAAATCGTATACGTATTTTTTTTTTACCATTCACCAAATGGTATGCAAAATATTTATAAACATTAGAAACATAATCAAGAAGTTTATGATCGGACAAAGTGCAGTACTATTTAATGTTACAAATATCAAAGATTCGATTCATCCAGCTAATATTAAGCAAAATATAATTTTATAACATTTTATGGAGCTAATTCTATGTTCTTCCTCATTTCTTAATTCCTGTTCATATATCTATTGTGTATTACACGTTAGCATAGATCTCATATTCCCACTTTACCTTCACCTTCACTCGATGTAACCTTTCCGATACTATCGTCGATATTAGTCAATGTTCAGAAATCATTGGTAGCGTTCACGTGTACCGTATCAAAAAGTGTAATAATTAGATTCAAATCTTTGAAAACCTTTATTTCGAATCCGAATAAAAATTAACTTATGTACTTGCATGAAATATAGTTCGATTACTCTAATTTGCACATTTATTGTTATTCTATTATTGTATTGTATTTTTTTTTTTGTTTTCGTGTTTTTCGTACATTTATATTATATTTATATCTATGTTGTCTTATTTTATTTTATTATTACCATAACGTGTTCAACATGTTACCAGTTTATTATTATATAGGGTGTCCCGTAACTAGTGTAAGAACCGGAAATGGGGGGTAGCTGAGACGATTCTGAACAACAATTTCCTTTGCAAAAATGTTGGATGGGGCCTCGTTTTTGAATTATTAACGAAAAACTCTGACCAATCACGGCGCACGCGCAGGGCCGTCCGAACTCGGAGAGCCCACGCGTCGGGTAGGTAGCAAGATGTGAATTTAAGATACATCGAGGAACGAATACAAATAATTAAAAATACTACCACTGCAACTATTACCTAATTCGTTAATTACTACGTAATTAGTACGTAAATGATTAAATCGAATCTATTAATTATTTGTATTCGCTGTTTCCAAGGAAGAAGGAATAAAATGTGGGAAGATGCTCTCGGAATTTTTAGGAACTTAATCATGCACACCCGAGTGACGCTTCTCGCCAGAGTGTTTTAAAATTAAAATAAGAATTATTTTCAGAAAATTAAAATAAATACGGTAAAAACTATTTGTAACCGTTTGATATTAAAAACTGTACTGGAAAAGCAGACTGGATTTGTACGTACCGAAACATTCCTCGAATGCAAATGGTTAATAGAGAAATAATTGAAATTCGACTTATCTGCTGTGCTGACAATAGGGCCCGGTCAGTGCACCCCTATACCCATCCCAGCAGCTTCCCCTATCCGCCACCTGGGGACGCGCCACGTAGGGGTTCACCTCCCCTGCCGCTTGGACCACCAAATGGGTGCGTGGAACTGACTAACTAACTGCAAACTAACTAACTAACTAACTAACTAACTAACTACTAACTAACTCAAACTAACTAACTAACTAACTAACTAACTAACTAACTAACTACTAACTAACTAACTAGCTAACTAACTAACTACCTAACTAACTAACTAACTAACCACTAACTAACTAACTAACTAACTAACTAACTAACTAACTAACTAACTAACTAACTAACTAACTAACTAACTAACTAACTAACTAACTAACTAACTAACTAACTAACTAACTAACTAACTAACTAACTAACTAACTAACTAAAACTAACTAACTAACTCAAACTAACTAACTAACTAACTAACTAACTAACTAACTAACTAACTAACTAACTAACTAACTAACTAACTAACTAACTAACAAACTAACTAACTCAAACTAACTAACTAACTAACTAACTAACTAACTAACTAACTAACTAACTAACTAACTAACTAACTAACTAACTAACAAACTAACTAACTCAAACTAACTAACTAACTAACTAACAACTAACTAACTAACTACAAACTAACTAACTAACTAACTAACTAACTAACTAACTAACTAACTAACTAACTAACTACAATCTAACTAACTTAGTTAGTTACTTAGTTACTTAGTTAGTTAGTTATAATACTTTCCTTCCTCATAGATCGGAGAGTAAGTGCTCGATGCTATCGACATACTCTTTATTGACGGTACCTTATTATTCTTAACTCAAGTCTGATCTGTTTTTTACCTTGCAATACAACGTATTTATACATATAATTCGAATTAATTTTAAATGATGAAGTTACTATGTGTTCCGGCCGACGCGAACGAATATTCCAGAAGTCGGGCCGTCCCCAACCGATTGTAGGAATCGGGCCGGGTGCAAAAATCGATAGCGGACACGTGTCGCGGAATACCGTTCTCGAAGGATCGAGAATGTTCCGCGGCACGCGCGTGCGAGGATTTTTGCACCCGGCTCGACGGAAAAAATGACGATCGGGAAGCACCTATAAAAGGCAGGGCCCCGATCGCCCGGGACCAGTCAGTCTAAACAGAGCGAGACATTCACCATCAAAATTTGAACCAGTTATAATTAAAATTAATTTGTTAAGATAACGCGTCGCAGTACGGCCGCGAATCAGTAAATGAAGCTGGGGAGTGACGACCCCGAGCCCAGGAAAAATCACGCGCGGTCGCGAGTGGCGAGGTCGCGATCACAGTCGGGTCGCGACAGAGTTATGGTCCTTCGAATTGGATATCAGTGACGTGTGGACACTCTAGACGAGACATTAAAGGACACGGACATTCCTGGTCTAACAGTGAGTGGAACAAACATTCGAAATAGTGAGAAGAGATTGTGCACTGGATCCACCCAACGACGGCTCCACCGGTCCGAGGGTCAAGCAGACGGGAAGCAGCTGAGGCAGAGATCAACGACAGCCATCCGAGCCGACGACAACTCCACCAGCACTGACATCGGTCAAGGTAGGCTCGTTTCAAACACGAATCACCAATCAGTTTCTTTCAATTTCCCTTTATCGATCCACTCTATCTCGTCCGTCTCACGATAACAAACGAAATGCCGAACGAAAACGTACCCGCGAACGAAGGCAGTGTCAATCAACGCAGTCGGACGATGAAAAATAAACGGCGGACGTTCAAGGCACAAATTACGGCGTTTGGAAAATATCTGAGTACTTTCGGAGATTCTGCGAAGGAACGCGTCAAGCTTCGCGAAAGAATTGAAAGAGCGCGTAAACAATTCGAGTCATTCAATGATATACAAGATGAATTAGGCCTCATCGACGATTTCGAAGAAACGGAAGCGGAGCGGGAATTTGTCACCGACCAATACGATGACGTAATGGCGAGTGCAGTAGCGTTGTTAGAACAGCTTGAGCAACCCACGACACAGCATTCATCCGCGACAACAGTCCGGATTCCGAGCGATTCTCCTGCACCACCAACCTCATCGACCGCGATCGGGGTGCATTTGCCGAAAATCGACCTTCCGAAATTCGACGGGCGTCTCGAGAAATGGGTCGCGTTCAAGGACGCATTTCAGACAATGATTCACGCGCATCCGGGACTCAGTGACATTCAAAGGCTCAATTACTTACGTCTATCGTTGTCAGGGAAGGCAGAATCCGCGATCGAATCATTCATGATAAGCGAAGAAAATTACAAGTCCGCGTGGGATCAATTAATCGAAACATACGATAACACGCGCGCTCTAGTCTTGCGACACGCCGCGTTGCTGCGCGATACGCCCGCGATGCGTGACGACACGTCCGAGTCAATTTGTGATCTCGTTAATCACATGCAGTCACACGTTCGGTCACTACAGGCTCTCGGGCGATCGTGGGAGGATATCGCGAGCGACTTAATCACAAGCATCGCGATCTCGAAGATGGGTGTCGGTACTCGGCGGGCTTGGGAGCAAACTCTTGGGGACACGAAGATGCCAAAAATCACCGACATTTTCAGGCATCTCCGAAACGCGTCGCATCAATTAAGGGAAGACGAGTCATCGAATCACGGTACATACGAAAGGGAGATTCAAGCGCAACCCAGCAAAACTCGGGCCGAACATCGGGTCATGCAACGCAAACCACCACCGCCGGCTCCGCGAACCAGCACGCGCTACACATTCGCAACAACCGTCGCTGCACAGTGTCGAATTTGTAACACGGGTGCCCATCCAGCGTATCAATGTCGCAAATTCATTGACGCAACTCCAGGTGAAAGGGTGCAGTTGATACGAAAAGCGAAGTTTTGCCTGAATTGCCTCCGTCCAGATCACACCGCAGACGACTGCAAATCTGGAAAATGTCGCGTGTGTGATGGTCGTCACAATACCAAGCTGCATCAGGATTCCGCACCGCGAGCAGACGAGATCTGACTAGCGCCGACGCATTCAAAACGATCCTTACGACAAGGGACGACACTGATCTCGACGGGACAAAGCAACGGGCTCCTGGCAACCGCGAAGATACATGTGTTAGACCGCGACCGGCGACTCGTTCAATGTCGCACGTTAATGGACACTTGTTCGAACGCGAACTTCATCACAGAAGAAATCGCTATGAGGCTGCGCTTACCGTGCAAGCAGACATCCGTAGCAATCGAAGCACTCAACGAGTTGAACACAATCACGAGTAGACTCGTCTCAGCCACAATCAGATCGCGAGTATCAACCTATCAAAGGACTCTAACGTTTCACATTATCTCGAAAATCTCAGGTCCTCTGCCGAACGTCCCAATCGACCGCTCGAACCTCACGATTCCATCAAACATCAAACTCGCGGATCCGAATTTTCACCAACCAGCGGCCATCGACATGCTGATTGGTACCGGCACGACGCTTTCGTCGCTCAGCATCGGACAAATCGATTTGTCTCAGCCTAACGGATCGGATCTGGTTCTTCAAAAGACGCAACTAGGATGGATTGTCGGGGGGAGTGTGCCGATCGCCGCACCACAATCAAAACGGAGCACGTTTCTAACGTCGTTGGATTTCGAGATGAGGAGATTCTGGGAAGTAGAAGAGGGATCAAACGCACAGCATCTCTCTTCGGAGGAACGGGAATGCGAGGAACATTTTTCCCATCAGGTACGACGCGACGCATCCGGACGCTACATCGTGGCACTTCCCTTCAATGAGCAGCAGCAGCGACTTGGAGGATCGCGATCGCGCGCGCTCCATCGGTTATTCTCATTAGAGCGGAAGTTTGATCGGAATCCAACTTTAAAGGCCGACTACGCCGCGGTCCTTGATGAATATCGCGCGCTCGGTCACATGACGCAGGTAGAGTCCTTCGACTCCCCAGGCTTCTACTTGCCTCATCACGCGGTCATAAAGCCCTCGAGCTCGACAACAAAGGTTCGTGTGGTTTTCGACGGCTCAGCTAAGTCGAGTAGCGGTCTGTCACTTAACGACGCTTTGATGACGGGCCCGACATTACAAGATGATCTTTTTTCGTTACTGCTGCGATTTCGCCTGTATGCGTATGTTCTCACCGGCGACATTGAGAAAATGTATCGTCAATTCCTCGTGCGACCAGAAGACCGATCATTTCAGCGCATCTTGTGGAGGGATCAGCGAAACCGCATAGCGACGTACGAGTTAAACACCGTCACATTCGGGTTGACTTCGGCACCCTATCTGGCTACGAGATGTTTGCAGCAATTAGCGACCGACGAACAAATGGAGTTTCCAATTGCCTCACTCGTCATCAAACGGGACATGTACGTCGACGATTTATTAACGGGCGCCAATACCATTGAGGAAGCGAACGAGTTGCAGACCCAAATTCTCGGTATGCTCCAACGTGGAGGCCTTAACATACGCCAATGGGCCTCTAACGAACCGCGACTCCTCACGGGACTCGGCGAGGATCAGATTCATCCCAAGATTTTAGGCGATTCAAGTGTAATGAAGACTCTCGGTATTACTTGGGACGCTCGAAACGACAGCATTTCGTACTTCGTTGAATCTCCGACGGCGATAAAACCCACTAAGCGATCGATCTTGTCAACCATTGCAAAGATCTTCGATCCGCTCGGGTTGCTCGGTCCTGTGGTGATCACAGCGAAGATCATCATGCAGCGTTTGTGGCAACTCAATATTGATTGGGACGAATCATTGCCAGCCAGCATCCACACTGAATGGACTACTTTCTTCAATCAATTGCAGCATCTAAACAACGTTTCGTTCGTGAGGAATGTAGTTCAACGCAACAGTCGACAAGTGGAGCTACACGGTTTTTGTGATGCTAGCGAGCGGGCATACGGAGCGTGTATTTACGTGCGTTCAATCGACAACAACGGTCACGTCGAAACCAACCTTCTCTGCGCGAAATCTCGGGTTGCACCACTGAAGACAATCACTCTCGCGCGGTTGGAATTGTGCGGTGCCGCGTTGTTAGCAGTTTTGTACACGACAGTTCGAGCAGCGATTCTCCATCAAATCGATAAAACCATTCTTTGGACCGATTCAACGATCGTTTTGAACTGGATAAATAAGCAACCATGTACACTTAAAACCTTTGTGGCTAATCGGGTATCCGACATACAGCAAAGGACAGAGGTCACCAGCTGGCGACACATCAATTCGGAGGACAATCCAGCGGATGTACTATCTCGAGGACAGACTCCCAGGCAATTCGAGCAAAGATCCAACTGGTTGCATGGTCCCGAATGGCTCTCGACATCCGAAGAGAATTGGCCACCATCGAAGTTCCTCATTCAGAACGAGGTGCCCGAACTCAAACAGATTACCTGCCTGATTGCGACTACAAAACACGACGACGAAATACTACAACGATACTCGTGTATTAGAAAACTAAGGCGCATTACAGCGTACGTTTTACGATTCGGCCGACGTAACCGCCGAAAGGGTTCCTTGACGGTGGAAGAGCTGCAAGAAGCAAGCAGCTGCCTCATTCGGCTTCTACAAGCAACTGCATTTCCCGATGAGATCCGCCAATTAGGCAACAAAGGCAATTTACCTTCAAACAGCAAACTCCTTCCCCTGAATCCATTCCTCGACGATCAGGGAATTATTCGGGTGGGAGGTCGGCTACAAAATTCGACCCTTACCTATGCACGGAAGCATCCGATCCTTCTGCCAAAGGGTCATCACATCACCGATCTCATAATTCGGGATACGCATCGCGCGAATCACCACGAAGGCATCACTTCCACCCTGAACAGTGTGCGGCAAGCCTATTGGCCCATCGATGGAAGGAATGCTACACGAAAGGTCGTCCGACAATGCGTCAGATGCTTTCGTTTTCGCCCACCGTCTACGGATTACATCATGGGAAATCTTCCAGCATCGCGTGTGACGGAAAATCGTCCATTTTTCAACAGCGGCGTCGACTAATGTGGTCCATTCTACATAAAGGAATGACGGTTGCGAAATCGTGCACGCATTAAGGTTTACGTCGCCGTTTTTGTGTGCTTTGCGACCAAGGCCGTACACTTAGAGTTGGTAAGTGACATGACGACCGAAGCATTTATCGCCGCATTGCAGAGATTCATCGCGCGCAGAGGAATCTGTCAGAGCATGCACTCTGATAACGGAACAAACTTCATCGGTGCTAACAACGAGTTGCGCGAGATTCACCAAATCCTGCAAGGTGACGACACCGTTCGCAATTTTCTCACCGGGGAAAAAATCACCTGGCATTTCATACCCGCGTTATCACCTCATTTCGGCGGACTTTGGGAAGCCGCGGTGAAGTCATTCAAACACCACCTCAAGCGCGTAGTCGGTGACGAGCTATTCACTTTCGAACAATTCAACACCTTCGTGATTGAAATTGAAGCCATTCTCAATTCGCGGCCCTAGACTCCACTTTCGTCAGATCCTAACGACCCATCTGCATTAACTACAGCTCATTTTCTGATTGGTGATTCGTTAACGAGCATCGCCGAGATTGATTTCAGTGCTACACCAGCGAATAGATTATCTAACTGGCAGCATATCCAACGTGTGAAGCAGCACTTCTGGGCCAGGTGGCAGAAGGAGTACATCAACCATCTGAACGTGCGGTCCAAGTGGAGAAAGGGTTCACATTGCATCAAAAAAGGCACCGTCGTGGTCTTAAAAGAGGACCACCTTCCACCACTCTCGTGGCATCTCGCACGCGTGGAGCAGATTCATCCCGGATCGGATGGCGTCATTCGAGCCGTCACTGTTCGGACCAGCCATGGGACCTACAAGCGGAACGTGCGGCAACTGGCACCCCTGCCTGCCCAGGATGCTCATGAGCAGTGCCGCGACACGAGATAGGACTCATACGTAAAATTAGGATAGATATATAATAGCGTCGAGTTACATTGATCAATCGTCTCGATCAACGGGGGGGAGCATGTTCCGGCCGACGCGAACGAATATTCCAGAAGTCGGGCCGTCCCCAACCGATTGTAGGAATCGGGCCGGGTGCAAAAATCGATAGCGGACACGTGTCGCGGAATACCGTTCTCGAAGGATCGAGAATGTTCCGCGGCACGCGCGTGCGAGGATTTTTGCACCCGGCTCGACGGAAAAAATGACGATCGGGAAGCACCTATAAAAGGCAGGGCCCCGATCGCCCGGGACCAGTCAGTCTAAACAGAGCGAGACATTCACCATCAAAATTTGAACCAGTTATAATTAAAATTAATTTGTTAAGATAACGCGTCGCAGTACGGCCGCGAATCAGTAAATGAAGCTGGGGAGTGACGACCCCGAGCCCAGGAACAATTACGCGCGGTCGCGAGTGGCGAGGTCGCGATCACAGTCGGGTCGCGACACTATGTATCGGAACAAGTAAACCATAAAAGTTACGTGTTATTAATTCGTATGTCGTACGTTAATATCGGCAAGTTCAAATACCTGTATGTAATAAGAAATTTTCTTTACAACTATTTTATTGCGTTCGTTCAAGCGTCCGATAATACGACTAATGGTATCGTTGATCCTGTTCGTTAAACGTTGTTCAGGAAACTTGTTCCTATTTGTCGTTTTGCCACGAATTAATTGCGTCACGTCGTATACTGTAAATTCTTTAGTAATGTCGCCGAACCGGCATTAGATTTTCCTTTTATAAGAAAGCTTTCGTCGAGTTTTGCAGACAATTATACATATAAATTTGTCAAGGGGAAATTCAACCAAAAAGGAATAACTTTTGCGATTGCAATTCAACATTCGATAGAAGGTCGATGTTTTTTTTCGGTTATCAAACTTCAGAATTGAACATTTTTATTGTAATTTTTGATACATTGTAAATAATTTATACAGCAGTGGTTCGTGTACAGTACTGTGACTCGATCCGAAGGTCGGATAATCGAGGGTTCATTGGGTAGAATTTTTTTAGCGACCACCACGTTATATTAGTTTTGTAGCGGTGTGAATGGGTTGTAAATAGTGAGTGGTACGACTGATGAGAATGCATGATCGATGGCTGAACGGTTGGTGAAAGGAAAGAATGTGTGGTAGGCCTGAAAGGAAAAAGAACAAAAGAAAACGAACACGAGGCGGGCAGAAGCGTGTGGCCCGTCCTACGTGGTAGACCAGAGCAAGTGCAATAAAATAGTAAGCCAAAAAAGAGAGTTGTGATTAGTAGACCAAGACCTATAACAAGTGGTGACCCCGACGTGATGGCAGAGAGCTAATCTGTGCTGGGGGACAATTACAGTCGAATTAAATGCCGCTAGATAAAATACCCACATTTGATCCAAGGGCGTGGGCTTATCCCTCTGATGTAACACATTATCAATTAGTATGGCAATCAGCATTAACTGCGGGTGGATATTCTCATATCCATCTGCAGTTCGTATATCCCTCGCTACAACTGAAGCGAACATTGGTGAGTACATTGCACGAGGGAAGTCCAATCCAGCAAAATTTGCAATGGCTCTTCCGAAACCCTGGTCATATAGTGAAACGGTTACCTCAGCAAAAACTGCTGCAACCCTTGGTAAAGTGACAACCTCTGGGCCTATAGCCTCAGTACGCTTTCGGCCTGGAGTGTCAGGCTTTATGTCGTATTTGTTACACAACATCCTCATAACGGCTACGAAGTCCTGGTGACTCTTTTTAAGAAGTTTGGACACAACAGCCCCTCTGCTCAGAAAAGTGGTGATAAGAAAGTACATATCAGCAGATATGTACTCTTGATTTGAGAAATACCAGGGCACCTCTCCAGTATCTGTCCTATACATTAGTTGATAGGTCTGCTTGGGGAGTCTTGCTGCTATGGCATGAGCCTTGATGACCTTCCTCAAAATTATGGTAGGGTCAAATCCCTGATACCGGCAGGCGTCTGCCATGCGTCTAATCTTCTCCTCAAAAATGCCGTCATCAGGTATGTCAACAAACCCCATGATTAGCCTCCAGTCTCGTCTTTTTAAGCCAGCCAATGCCAACAAGTGGGTCATCTGAGCTCATTGGACCGTTGCCACCTTCAGAAGGAAACATATACTGCTTGACGTGTATTGATCGATTTACGTGCTGGATGGAAGTAGTTCCGTTGCAGATCATCACAGCTGAAACTGTAGGAAAAGCATTTTACGAAAACTGGGTGAGCAGATTTGGCGTGCCAGACAGTATCATAACAGACCAAGGAAGGCAGTTTGAAGCACGACTATTCAGGAGCCTGATGGCGATGTGTGGGGCGAAAGTTCTGCATACCACTCCGTATCACCCACAATGCAATGGGAAGATTGAACGGTTCCATAGAACGTTAAAGACTGCTATAAAGGCACATGGCAACAGCAAGTGGACGGAAACCCTGCCCACAGTACTGCTGGGATTAAGAGCAGCGCTGAGGGAAGATACAAACCATTCGGTGGCGCAAATGGTTTACGGAACGAATATACGACTTCCAGGAGAATTTTTCGAACAATCGAAACAGGAGGTGGAACCTGAGTCTTTCGTAAGCAGACTCCAAAGCCACATGGATCTGTTAAAACCCGCTAAGTCGCAGAGAGGCAGGAAACAAAAGGTATTTGTTCACAAAGATTTAAAAGTGTGTTCTCATGTTTTCCTAAGGGCGGACAGGATTAAAAAACCACTGGAACCGGCATACGACGGACCGTTTCCAGTGGCCAAGAGGCAGGACAAGTACTTTACGATAATGATAAAAGGGAAAGAAGTAAATATCTCGATAGACCGACTCAAGCCAGCGTACATTTTGAAGCCGGAGGAAGATTATAGCGAAGGAAAGCCAAGCAAATCGGATGATAGCGCACAACCCACTGTATTAACACGCGTTAAAAGAACGATTAGACTGCCGCTAAGATTCCAAGACTGAGTATAGGGTAGTAACAAGTACAAAACTATAAATAGAAGCAATATAATTTAGTCTCAGATTCTATATTTGCATACATAGTCATCGTAACTAGTTATAAATGTAGAGTAACGATAAAAAGACTGTAAGATGCGATGCGAAACAGGTAAATGTAACGGGAGAATAATCTATATAGCTTTAAGTTAATTTGTATCGTAACTCAGTTACTGAAAGGGGAGTGATGTAGCGGTGTGAATGGGTTGTAAATAGTGAGTGGTACGACTGATGAGAATGCATGATCGATGGCTGAACGGTTGGTGGAAGGAAAGAATGTGTGGTAGGCCTGAAAGAAAAGAGAACAAAAGAAAACGAACACGAGGCGGGCAGAAGCGTGTGACCCGTCCTACGTGGTAGACCAGAGCAAGTGCAATAAAATAGTAAGCCAAAAAAGAGAGTTGTGATTAGTAGACCAAGACCTATAACAGTTTCATTGATCTAGCAAGCATACAGAGAATAGATTTCAAAGTGCCAAACGGGAAATTGATCTTGGCGGGGATGCAGAATAACCAATTCCGTTTCCTCGTCGTAATGGTAATAAGCATTTAACTTCGTGCTTTTTGCCAAGACCCGTAAATGTACCGTTAAAGCTGCATAAGTGTTCCGTTTAGTATCGTGTCCTTTCTACGAATGGCATGTTAAAAAGCTTAATTGCTCGCGTGGAGCTTCGACTGGCTAATGAAGTCACAGACGCGCTGTGCACGAGTAAACAACTCAAAAAAAACAATCTTCGAGACACCGCGTCGTGGGCGGAAACGGAAGAAACCCTGACACAACCCCAAAATGTAAAGTCACGAAATATGCTTTTTGTACATACATCCGTTAACGTCTATGTCAAACACCTGGTTAACACTAGATTGCCCAAGGAAGTCATTTTGACTGCTTTTTAATTTCAATTAGAAAAACAATTATGTATATAATGACACAATTTCTTAGAACTTTGTGACTTTTTGTACACCATATAAATGCGTTTATTAATAATTGTAGTTACCTCCTCCCTCCTTCATTTTCGGTATATATATATATGTGTTATACCTATATTGCCCAAAAGCAGTCATTTTGACTGCTTGGGAAATTTTAAATAATCAAATGACTCTTATTATTGAATCGAGTAAATTTTTTATATGACCAGTTCGGCTCTGTATTGAAATAACAGTTTTCATTTTTTCTCGATTACCGACACATTATAACATACAAGTACATGATAAATTGTCGATTTGGGCATATAACTTGGTAAGTTGCAGTTTCTCAATAAGCTAAAGTAGTACTTGTTATTCGAATCTTTATGCAGTGATACTTGTTCTAACAAGTTGTTTATTTCATTTTTTTGCGCCCTAAATTCATAATATTAAAACCTTATATTAAAAATTAATTTTAAACACTTTACACATTAGTTATTCTTTCACAATGCAGTCATTTTGACTGCTTTTGGGCAATACAGGTATACAGGGTGTTACTCTACCTATAGTCAATATTTTGGGGGGTGATTCTACAGGCGAATATAAGTCGAAAATCAAGAGTGATGAAATTGCGGTAAATGCTTTGTTTATTAATTATCGATGGTTAAAGATTGGCGTCTGGAGCGCCTGAATGACGGCAACTTAAAATAGGGCCGGTCAGTATACCAATATCGATCGGCGGCAACGTCGAAGACGCCAACGAAAATCAGCTGATGGAACAGCCCGGCCGCCGATCGATATTGGTGTACTGACCGGCCCTATTGTCACCGCAGTTCGAATTTTAATTATTTCTCTATTAACCCTTTGCATTCGAGGAATGTTTCGGTACGCACAAATCCAGTCTGCTTTTCCTGTACAGTTTTTAATACCAAACGGTTACAAATGGTTCTTACCGTATTTACCGCTGTCCGTCAAGTTGCCGTCATTCAGGCGCTCCAGACGCCAATCTTTAACCATCGATAATTAATAAACAAAGCATTTACCGCAATTTCATCACTCTTGATTTTCGACTTATATTCGCCTGTAGAATCACCCCCCAAAATATTGACTATAGGTAGAGTAACACCCTGTATACTAAGTTTCAGTCTTTCTAGTTTAATAAACATCGATCGAAGACAGATTGTCACCAAAAAATGATTCGACGAGGAAGGAAATTACGATTTCGACGTATTCGTCTTTGCTAATTTTTAGTTGTACCCTCGTCGTTCGATTTCAAATCAAAGCAAAGTTCAGTCGATTTCGGCCGGCTGCGCGTCGTTTCTGTTTTCGAGTCGGCGTTCGCAGCCAATCTAACGTTTTCATTCAATGAAATTCAATTAATATGTGCAAACGAGCCACTTAGTTAAACATGAACTTTCCGCTCGGAGGGAATACACCAGGCATGCGGTTATTTTTCTGCAACGCGGCACGGCGATTCGCTGGCCGGTCGCGGAGCGAAGGGCCGCGTCACGAAGGCAAAGTTAACGGCCCATAATTCATAGCCGACATATAATAAATATCGTTACTCCATCGTGAGCGCACGCAGACGCTCGCGTCGCGGTTTCACACGCACGTAACCTTTGTACAGTACGTGTGCGAGGATGTAAACGTTTCGCGACTCCGTACAGACTTTCCCTGATATTACGTGGTGAGCTTTCGTCCTTGGCGTAGGTAATAAAAGTTCGCCTTTAACAATCCACTCGCGGCCAGAATAAAATAATACTCGGCCCTTTTCGGACATATCTTCACCCCGTTGCACAGTGGTCCGAAGGCCAGTATTTTTAAGTTAAAATTTAGAAACATTCTCTTGGGACATTCTCGACGAATATTGGGTTGGCCAAAATCGCGTCTCTTTCTGTGTAAATGAAGAACATAAAATTTTATCAACGATCGTTTAACGTGTTTTGCAAAGGACGGAATAAATGGTAATCGTTTAGTGCCAGGTCTGGTGAACATAAACAGTTTTTGACGAATGATATACGTTCGAATTAATGGTTTGGATCCTTGGAAGCAGCTCAAGCTACCTACGCGATTCCTTTGAAATCTCACCAGACTTCGGTGATAAGATTGTTTCGAGAAATGCGCTATCATTTTTTGGCTAACCTAATAGATGGGAACAGCGAGTAAGTTGGCAAATTCCACACACGTGCAACCGTTAAAACGGAATAAAAAAATCAAGCACGAAGAGGAACCCAAAATAAGAGGAATAAAAAATATCCTGCACGGCCGGCCACCGCGGTTTGCGGTTACAATGTGCAACGAAAAAAGAATTCTTCGTTTCGTCCTACTCCCGCCTTTCTTCCACGGCGTCTTCCATTCCTTCGACCGATTCTCTGTCCTCTTCTGGCTTCTTGGTCCGCGAGGCTTCCAACGTGTGTACACAGCCGGATTTATATTCAAATGAATCGCCGTGGAAGGGTCGACTTATCAATGTATCAAACCCGACGAAGCGAAGGATAGACGAAGGGTGAGTCGCGAAAGAATGTTAGCTTTCTTGATCGATCACGGGTATCGCTCGAGAGAATTGTTATTAATTATCCCGATGGCTTGTTCCACCATAATTAATTCCTCCGTGTGGAATATAGCCGCGCGGTTCTATATTAAAATCTGCCACGGGTAATGTGACCAATCGTCAGTCATTCGTCATTTTGGATATTGATAGCTATTGGGGCGTTCGAAACTTTACGTTCGAGGATACGAAGCTTCGAATCGATTTGAATACTGTTGCAATCCAGAAAAATATTTATTAATGCATTTACGAATAGTATATTTATGTTATCTAGATAGCGAATATAGTTTTTTATTCGAGCAAATGGTAGATAATTCCACCATTTTGTATGTACACGTATGGCTTTGTGTGTGTGTGGTAGTCCATTATACGAGAAATTTTAATGGGAGATTCTAGAGGCCAAAATAAGACGAAAATCAAGAATATCAATTTGTTGATGGAGGCTTCGTTATAAAGTTATTAAAAAATTAAATTAAAACATATCAAATCGTTCTAAAAAAGTTATTTTTGGTTGCAGGAGTCAATTACAATTATTTTTTGTCAATAGACATACCCCTGAAATCCTACCCACTTTCAAGAAAAAAATTCCTTAACGAAAATATAGTCTGAGGCCTGAAATGGTTCCCCGAAATTTCATGTGAATCTTTGAAACATAACTCCCGAACCGATTGGACGATTTTAATGTTTCAAAATGCAAACAACGCGTATTTTGGCGAAGAATATGTGGAAATTTCAAAAATATTCGAAAATCTATTCCTTGACTTCGCAAAATGAGAAAAACACCATAAAAGTGATCCAATTTTCAAACAGCCATAACTCCTACAATAGTCAGTATATTTCATTGAAATTTTGGGGAGAACCAGAGTTCATGGATACCTACAAAAAAGTATTGAACAACTTTTCTGTACAGCGCCAACCAAATTTATTAAAAATGAAAAACAAATTTTTAAGAAACATCGACAGGGTTGTAGGTGCTTAAATTTTTCGAAAAAAAAATTTCGAATCGTTCTGGAAAAATTATTTCCGGTTGCGGGGGTCAATTACTTTCATTTTTGATCAATAGACATACCCTCGAAATCCTGCTCACTTTCGAGAAAAAAATTCGAGTAGATACTGAAATTTTTAGACAAAATTAAACAATTTCAAATTGTTCTGAAAAAATTATTTTTAATTGCAGAGGTCGATTACAATCATTTTCGGTCAATAGACATACCTCTGAATTCTTGCGCATTTTCGAGAAAAAAATTCGAATATGTACTGAAATTTAACTTTAATCGTTAACATAATGAAATATGTAATCGTTTCGTAATTAATGACGAACAAATTAATCATGTCTGACGATTACATTAGCTTCGATTACTTGTATTATTCGTAAGTCATTATTACTAATTATTCAGTTATTATAATAATTTATCATTGCTTTTACTACACTGTGATCATAATTGTTAATCATTAATCAGATTGCATTCGTAACACAACGATACACAAAGTTTCCAAGTAATAATAAGTAAAAAATACTT